CAAAACATTGTGTTTTCACAGGTAGATGTGCATGTCTCTCTCGTCCCATTTTTTCCTATTCCCTAATTCACGACTTATTCGTTTGACGTGGCCCTGCCAATGGATTTTGTCATTTGTGACGTGCTGCTTCTTTTTAAGAGAAAAATATTTCCTATTTTTAATTAGGAGCTGTCTCATGCTGTTCAAGTTGCAAAATCCATTGGCAGGGCCACGTCAAACGAATAAGTCGTGAATTAGGGAATAGGAAAAAATGGGACGAGAGAGACATGCACATCTACCTGTGAAAACACAATGTTTTGCGCATGTTGGAATAAGTTGTGAATTAGGGAATAGGAAAAAATGGGACGAGAGACACATGCAGCATTTACCTGTGAAAACACAATGTTTTTTGCAGTTTGGAATAAGTTGCGAATTAAGGAAGAGAAAAAATGGGATGGGAAGCACAAAGGTTGCACTTACCTGTGAAAACACAATGTTTTGTGCACTTAGGAATAAGTTGCGAATTAGGGAATAGAAAAAAATTGGACGGGAGACAGACAGGAGGCATTTACTTGTGAAAAGCCAATGTTTTGCGCAGTTTGGAAGAAGATCAGCAGCATGCACATTGATGTTTCCACAACAGAGTTTGGAGACCAAAAGATGTGAAAACATCAGAGGGCGAGACGGTACCAACTGGGGTGTGCGGCATGCCGCACACCCCAGTTGGTACCGTAGATGGACGAAATATTCAAACCCCTTCTATCCGGTACAACCCCCTAGCCCCCAAAGTTCAATGTTATTGTTATTGTAACCTGAAGTGCGTTAGCCCCAATGGACGAAAAAAATCAAACCCCTAACATCACTTTTGCTAACACGCGCGCTGAAACATTGAGATTTGGGGGGGCGGGGGTTCAACATAGTGCGTGCTGCAGGGTTTGAATATTTTGTCCATCTACTGTAGTACTACTAGTACTAATAGCATTACTAGTACTACTACTAGTACTACTACTGGTAGTACTACTACTACTACTATTACTACTACTACTACTACTACTACTATTACTATTATTATTACTACTACTACTATTATTATTACTACTACTACTACGGCTACTACCAAGAGAGTGAAGTGCAAAGTGTAGACTGTAAAGTGCAGAGTGTGGAGTGTAAAGTGTCGAGTCTGGAGTGTTGAGTGGAAAGTGTTGGGTGTAAAGTAGAGTGAGGAGTGAGGAGTGTAAAGTGTGGAGTGAGGAGTGCGCAGTGTAAAGTGTGGAGTGTAAAGTGTGGAGTGTAAAGTCTTGAGTGTAAAATGTAGAGTGTGGAGGGTAAAGTGTAGAGTGAGGAGTGAGGATTGCAAAATGTAAAGTGTAAAAAGTGCAAAATGTGGAGTGTAGAGTGTAAAGTGTAGAAAATAAAGTGCAGAGTGTAAAGTGTAGAGTGTGGAGTCGAAAGTGTAAGTGTGGAGTGTGGAGTGCGGAGTGTAAAGTAAGGAGTGTGGAGCGTAAAGTGTGGAGTGCCGAGTGTGAAGTGTAGAGTGTGGAGTGTGCAGTGTGTAAAGTGTAGAGTGTGGTGGCGTGTGGAGTGTCGAGTGTGGGATGTAAAGTAAGGAGTGTGGAGTGTAAAGTGTGGAGATTGCAGTGTGCACAGGGTAGAGTGTGGAGTGTAAAGTGTGGAGTGCGCAGTGTGTGCAGGGTAGAGTGTAGAGTGTGGAGTGTAAAGTGTGGAGTGCGCAGTGTGTAAAGTGTAGAGTGTAGAGTGTGGATTGTAAAGTGTGGAGTGTGCAGTGTGTAAAGTGTAGAGTGTAGAGTGTGGAGTGTAGAGTGGGGTGTAAAGTGTAGAGTGTGGAGTGTGGAGTGTGGAGTGGAAAGTGTAGAGTGTAAACTGTGGAGTGTAAAGTGTGGATTGTAAAGTGTGGAGTGTAAAGTGTGGAGTGTGAAGTGTAAAGGGTGGAGTGTGGAGTGTGGAGCGCCGCGCCTGCCATGCAAAATGAGGACGGAGACAGAGATTTCCAAAATGTCGCGCTTGCCACAAAAACTGCGACTCATCTCGTGAAAACGATGCAAAAGTATTGCGCCTGCCACACAGGAACGACTGTCGACACGTTCTCAAACAGGTTGGAATGTCACAAAGTGCCGCGCTTGCCACGCAAAACGACATGACAACCTGCTTGGAAACCTTCGAAAAGGAGAAGTTTTGCAGCTTCCCCCATAGAGACGGCGAGGCCACAGGAAAACCAGAGACCCGAGACAAGACACGTGGGAGCATCAAAACGAGCATTTAAAAATGCAGATTTCCTCCAATGTTAACACTTTGTAGCTTCAAAATCGACGTTTTCCTACGACTTTTTCCTTAGAACCTGAAAATTTGCTACCTCAGAATCGATGTTTCGCGCGAGGCTTCCGTCAATTTTCATCACATCTCACAAAATGCCTCGCCTGCCACGGAATTTGCAGACCATTCTTCCAAAGCTCTCGTTTTACCAGCGCGCCGTGCTTGTTTTTTGAGCAGTGTCCATGCTGTGTCAGCAGGCGTGGGACTTTCGGGACATTTTGAAGTCTGATACCTTGTTGTGCGTGACAGGTGCAGGACACCGGACATTTTTTTGATCCACATGGCAGGTTTGCGCATTGCGAAAACGTTGGTCAAAATGAGAGGCGGTTTTGGAAATCATTTTTTTTTGGTTGCTTCGTGAAATTAGATCGATGATTTGGGACATGATGATGATTCCGGGTGGGGTGTAGCACTTCGGATGCCTCGGGTTCGTTTGTCGTAGCAGGCGTAGTACTTTGTAGACCCCTCAAACACGCGGTGCCTGAGTAAAACATCGTTTTTTACATTCTCAATGCTGCGCGCAATGTAAGATCTAACATGTGCTCGCGCAACCCTCTCGTCACTTTGGGCGTGTCGGATCGCTCCCGTTGTGGCGCGGTGCTCGTCCTGATAATCAACGAGATCTTGTTTAGAGATCTTGCCAAGAGGTCTCCTACAGAGATCTTGCCAGTAGATCTCGTGTAGAGTAGAGAACTTGTACAAATAGGTTGAACAAAGATCTTATATATTCAGATATCTTTTATGGAGGTCTTGCCGGGAGATGTTTTTCAGAGACTTTGCGCAGAGATCTTGCCACAAGACCTCTTGTCAAGACAACGTCTTGTAGAGAAACCTTGTGAAGAGAACTGGGGTATTGCTCAGGGGTTTCTTGTAGAGAACTTGAACAGATATCTTACTCAGACAGAGATCTCTTGCGGAGGTCTTGCGCGGAGATCTCTTTTAGACACCTTGCACAAATAGCCTTACAAAGGAATCTTACGGCAGCTTCTACAGAAAACCTGTCGAGGACATCGTGCACACGCTCTTCCACAGAGATCTTCAGAGGGAAAACTTGCGGAATCACACCTGATATCTCTTCGTCGTGCTCCTTGCAACACTCTTTGGTGTCTCTTGCCAGGACAATTGCCTTTCATTCATGGTATGTCCTATTTGGTTAACAGTTAACATGCCTTCTGTGGCTCATCCAGGTCCCTAATACCTAGCACATTCTAATAAGAAAACATACACTTAAAATTTATTAGGCTTTACCGTTTTTCCATTTTTAGGTTGGACGTTTAATATTATGGGTTGCTAAACCTTGAAAGGGTGCGCGTTTCCATCGTTTGTTCAATTTATCATATTCCAAGGAGCCAAAAACGGCCCCGTGGCTTTGTTTTTTCTTATGCGCCACTGCCGTTGTGAGGTGCATTGTCTTGTCACCCCAAGCAAGCTGCACAATTTGCGAGCATTGGCATCATTGATCATCATGACCGTCGTTTTTATTGGCCCAAGATGTTAGAAGTGGGCGCGGTTCAGCGCAACTTTTCCGACCAACAGTGCGAATGGCGGTGTGCAAAAACGCGCATGCAAACATTTGGCCAACCAACCCGCGTTTGCAAGAAAGGTTGTTGCGGCCATCAAAGGATGTACGCTGTTTTGCCGCTATGCAAAGGATGCGCAACCTGAGACTTGGGGCTATTTGCCCTTTCAACAGAACATTGAATTTCGCGTTTCATGTTTAATTGCGGAATGTTTCCCGAAGATTCAAAGCCCGTAACTTCAGCCCTCACAAATCATTGCGGCAAGTTGTCGAGGGTTTGTTGACCAAGACGCGTTTTGAAAATAAATATCAGATGGACATTTGCAAAACAAAGGGGCGCAGAAACCAAATAAAACAAAAATGGCGCGCCATTGCACGGTTTTTTTTCAAGAAATCCGCGCAGGCGACGCGGGCAGGCAAAAAATGGGCAGCTTCATACGAAGTATTACAAAGCATTGCGCAAATAATACGTTTGTTTTCGCAGGATTCTGCATAGGGTTCTATCACCGCAGGGTGCAGACAATCGGTGTGATCAGTTTGTTTGCGTTTTAAGCAAACCGGATCCTGTTGGCAGTTGATGTGACCCAAAATGTTGGGGATGTGGGTGGGTTTTGTATGGCTGGGGAGATGCAGCACGGATGGGCAAGGTTTTCGCATGATCATAGTTTTGCTGCGCAGGAGTGGCAGCAACACCAAAGTCGGGAATCTTGTTCAGCCGGGCCTTCAGAGATGTAGGCTGCGATCGACGTTGCAGTGGGATTTTGGTCTCTGATCTGTGCGCAGTGCATGTCATTGAGCCAATTGTTGGTTTTAGAAAGGGATCGAAACAGATTGCAAAACATTTTTCCGTGCGGATGGTTTTTGATTTGAGGAGGCGGGCCTGGCAACACAAAATGTAAATCATTTTTTCCTTACGTGGAATGGGACACCACGTGACACCATGAATTTGTGTCAGAGTCTGGCAGTCTGGCATGGGTGTTGGCAGCGAGGTTGTTTTGGTTTTGCGCTGCAGCTGTCCCATGTTGTATCAAACCAGAGCCCTGAAACATGATATTTTTTCATTGGGCCATCTGGTGGACATCAACGCAGCATGGCGTCGAAGTTTTTCCAAAACCCAAACACATCATGGGTCTCTCTTTCCTTTCGTCTGAATTCCAGACCAATTTTCTTCCAACTGGCGCCATGGCGCCAAAGAAGGGAACCGTAACACGGGCAATGAAAAGGCCCGCGGCCAAGACAAAACCAGCGCGAAAAGAGAAGAAGGCTGACGAGAACGAGGGCAGCGAGGATTTCGAAGAAAAGGAAGAGCCGCCCACACCTGAGGAACCGGCTGGTGTAGCAAAGGCAAAAGCCAAACCCAAGGAGAAATCAAAGGCGAAGGCGAAGGCAAAAGAAAAGGCGAAAGCGAAGGCGACAGAGAAACCTGGAGTTGAAGTTTTTGGCTTTGATTTAGTATTGGATCACCGAAAATTCCTGCAAACAACGGGAAATGTGGTGGAATATTGAAGAATGTATATGATGTATACCAGTAGTACCGCACAAGGCGGTGGCGGAAGTTTCAAAAATAGGAAACCTATAGGAGAGGTTGGTTGTTGTGAATCAGGGATGGCAGAGCGAAGCCACTGATGGACCGAAAGGTGCTTGAGGTCTCCTTTCTTTCGCTCTCTTTCTCTGACTTTCTACCTACCTACCTATCTATTTTCTATGTATCTATCTATCTATCTATCTATCTCTCTTTCATTCAATTACCCTATCTATCTATCTATCTATCTAGCTATCTATCTATCTATCTATCTAATCTATCATTATCTATCTATCTCTCCATGTATCGATCTCTGTATCTATCTATCTATCTATCTGTCTGTCTGTCCTGTCTGTCTGTCTATCGATCTGTCTGTCTTTCTGTCTGTCTATCTGTCTAGCCATCTATCTATCTATCTCATCTACCCAGCTGGCCCCTCTCTCTCTCTCTTTCATCTAATTACCTATCTATCTATCTATCTATCCTACCTGTCTATCTCCCTCTCCCTTTCATCTCTCTATCTGTCTAGCTGTCTACCTGTCTATCTGTGTTGCAGTGTCATTCAGTGTAATGTAGTGTGGTGTAGTGTAATTTAGTGTAGTGGAGTGTACTGGAGGAGTAATGTACGGTAATGTAGTGTGACTTCGAAGTGTGCTTCGCGCCACAACTGCGTACACTTTTTTTCAACATCTGAACCTCCAAACCTCCAAAAATGGTCCGAAACCCTAGTGTTTTGTACATTTTGACTTCGAAATGTGCTTCGCGCCACAATGGCGTGCACTTTTTCGACATCTGAACCTCCAAAAGTGGTCCGAGCATGGTGTGTTTTGTACATTTTGACTTCGAAATGTGCTTCGCGCCACAACGGCGTGCACTTTTTCGACATTTGAACCTCCAAAAGTGGTCCGAACCCCTGGTGTTTTTAACATGTTGACTTGGAAATGTGCTTCGCGCCACAACGGCGTGCACTTTTTCGACATCTCAACTTCCAAAAGTGGTCCGACAATGGTGTGTTTTGTACATTTTGACTTGGAAATGTACTTCGCGCCACAACGGCGTGCACTTTTTTGACATCTCAACTTCCAAAAGTGGTCCGAGACCGCCAGTTTTTAACACTTTTGACTTCGAAATGTGCTTCGCGCCACAACGGCGTGCAATTTTTCATCGCTCCTGTGGCCAGCTGGCTCCGCACCCGCCGCTTTAGCGAGCCTACTTTTCAACCCTCCGGAGCCCCAAATCATTGGAAAAACACAGTGTTTCGCGACTTTCCTACCTTTTCGCGCATCTGTATCTTCTGTCTTCTTACTCTTTCTCTTCTGATCTTCTCTCTTCTAATCTTCCTCTTCTCTCTGCCTCTGCCCTGCTCTGCTTTTCATCTCTCCATATTGTCGGAAGTTTGACTTCTAAAGTTCCTTCGATAAATGTAATGTATACAATTGTATACATATTTTTCGAGAGAGAGAGAGAGAGATACACACACAAATATATAGGAAGTTTAGAAGTCAAACTTCCAACAATCTGGACAGATGAAAAGCAGAGATGGGAAGCGTCAGAGAAGAGAAGAGAAGAAGAAAGAACAGCAAAAAGGAGAAAGTCTCAGAAGAAAGAAGATCAGGTGCGCGAAAAGGCGCGAAACATTGTGGTTTTTTCCAATGATTTGTGGCTCCGGAGGGTTGAAAAGTAGGCTCGCTAAAGCGGCGGGTGCGGAGCCAGCTGGCCAGGTGAGAGATGAAAAATTGCACGCGGTTGTGGCGCGAAACAGATTTCCAAGTCAAAATGTGCAAAGTTCGGAGCACTTTTTGAAGTTGAGATGTCGAAAAAGTGCAGGCCGTTTTGGCGCGAAGCACAGTTCGAAGTCAAAAGTGTAAAAAAAATTGACGGGTTTGGAGCACTTTTGGACGTCCAGATGCCGTTTTACGTGGCAGGCACAAAGGATTCTGCACGTTGCCCAAAGTGAGCAAAACGTGATAGTTTTGTAGCATTTTCAACTACAACCACCACTACACTACATTACACGACACTACACTACACTATACTACAGCTACAACTACAACTACGCCTACGCTACATTCCACTACACTACACTACACGCCACAACACTGCACTCCACTACACTCCACTACACTACATTCAAGTGCACTACATTACACTATACTACAATACACTACATCACATTACGCTACACTACGCTACATTACACTACACTACACTATACTACACTGCACCAACTACAGCTACAGCTACAACTACAACTACAACTACCATACATTACAAAATGCTACACTACACTACACTACAGTACACTACACTACAAGTACACTACACTAATTACATTGCATTACGCTACGCTACACCACTCTACACCACACCACACCCCACTACACTACACCACACTACACTACACTCAATTGCACTACACTACACTACGCTACCCTACGTTACATTATATTACATTACGCTACACTCATTGCACCACCACAAATGCAACTGCAACTGCACTACACTAATTACACTACACCACAGCTACAACTCCACTACACTACAACTACAGCTGCGCTACAACACCACATTGCACCACACTACATCCAGCAGTTGTGGGTGAGGTGACCGACCAGGTGACCACTTCAACCATTGCAACCACTGCGAAAAACACAGCTCCAACATGCTCCAACCACCTTTCGGTCCAGTGGATTTGCTCTGCCATCCGTGAGTCACAACAACCAACTTCTCCTTCTTGAAACTTCGGCCACGGCCTTGTGCGGTACTACTGGTATATACGGTATATGGATACGCGTTTTCATGTTGACATTTCGTGTCCTATTGATTTTCATGTTCATAGTTCCAGTCTGTTTTTCACATCACGAAAGCTAGCGTCAGCTAGCTGGAGTCTTCTTGCTTTAGCAAGTATTGGGGGGGCTGCTCAAGGACATCCCGTGATTTTTCACGCGAAAGGGGCCCCCCACCCCCCCCCCTCCCCCACCACCACCACCATCACCACCATCATCATCATCATCATTGATCATCATCATCGTCATCGTCATCATCATCGTCATCATCATCGTCATCATCATCGTCATCATCATCGTCATCGTCCTCTCCATCGTCCTCGTCCTCGTCCGCGTCCTCGTCATCATCATCATCATCACCATCATCATCATCATCATCATTCATCGTCCTTCGTCATCGTCCATCGTCATCGTCATCGTCATCATCATCGTCATCATCATCATCAGCATCCTCGTCATCATCATCATCATCTATCTATCTATCTATCTATCTATCTATCTATCTATCTATCTATCTATCTATCTATCTATCTATCTATCTATCTATCTATCTATCTATCTATCTATCTATCTATCATCATCGTTATCATCATCGTCATCATCATCGTCATCATCATCGTCATCATCATCGTCATCGTCCTCTCCATCGTCCTCGTCCTCGTCCGCGTCCTCGTCATCATCATCATCATCATCATCATCGTCGTCCTCGTCATCGTCCTCGTCATCGTCATCGTCATCATCATCATCATCAGCATCCTCGTCATCATCATTATCTATCTATCTATCTATCTATCTATCTATCTATCTATCTATCTATCTATCTATCTATCTATCTATCTATCTATCTATCTATCATCATCATCATCATCGTCATCATCATCGTCATCATCATCGTCATCGTCCTCTCCATCGTCCTCGTCCTCGTCCGCGTCCTCGTCATCATCATCATCATCATCATCATTCATCATTCATCATTCATCATTCATCATTCATCATTGTTATTCAATTACATTTTATCATTATTGGCAATTATTGTCATTATCACGAAAGCTAGCGTCAGCTCGCTAGAGTCTTCTTGCTTTAGCACGTATTCCGGGGTTCCCCAAGGACATCACGTGATTTTTCCCGCGAAAGGGCCCCCCCCTGCCCCCTCCCCCATATATATCATTGTTATATATCATATATCAATATATCATTGTTGCATCCTCGTTGGGACGAACAATGCCGCGACACGATGATGACAGTCCCTCCGCAACTCACCTCTTCCCTTCCTTCTTTCTCCTACCCCGCTAGCTTTCGTCATCCACCCCCGGCCTCAAGTGTATAATTTTTGCCATTAACATTGAGAAGGGCCTTGAATCAGAAAATCCGAGGAAGGTTTTGACCAAAAAGCCACAAGAATCTTCATCTTCCTCATCCAGTTCCACAAGTTCTTCCAGCTCCAGTTCATCTGAAGCCAAAGCAGCAAATAAGTCGGACCGACCTTTCATTTGGCCTTGTACAGCAGAGTTGGCATCCAGCTGGTTAGGACTTTGGTACCTGGGAGGATTGCTGCGCTGAGCTAGTTGCCTTGTTTTTGCGTAATGTGATTTCCGGGAGGAAGCCAATTGCGCACTTGGAACTTGGCCCAGCTCTTTATGGTCTCGCCAATTTTCTTGTATAGAGCGGGGCCAAGTTCCTAGCAATGAGTGTCAGACTACCCAAGCCGGGTCTGTCCAAACATGCGGGCTAATTATGAGTAACACCAGGAAATTCTAAATTGTTTTCTAGACCATTTTTGGGGTGCCTTATCTTAAAGAAACATCAGCATCCCAGCATCGCATTTTGGGTTTCCCGGTTCGCCCACAAAGTGTATTGCGCAATTGAGCGCGGAACAACAAGAAGTATATTGAAATAGCACCTTCAGACACATACATACAGTGCTTGCTACCCGCTGGATGTATGCTCCACGCTTAACGTGTCTGCCAGGTCAATCATAGGTCAATCCTTTCTGGCTTCCAACATGGGTTTGTGGAGAAATAGGGGGTACGTGTGGGAATACCTACAGCATTTTGGCGACAAAAAGCCGGCGGTATTTTTTTGGATGATTTCCACCAGGATTATTTCGAGCGATCCCCGCCCTGAAATATTGCTTTGACAGTCTATATCTGGCATCCATGCTCACATTCTTTCTGAACTTCATGATCCCTGCCATCCAAGAATCTTTTCTTGTACAATGAGATGATTTTGACGACAAGGAAGATATGACATATTCTGCAGTAGCATCAGCTGATATGTATGCAATGTAGCACATACAATGACATATGGCATGTATGGGCTGACGCAAGTAGTGACATACTTGTGCTGCCACGATGAAGACCTGAACTGTCATATTGGGCAGTTTTTTCCACCCCGGACAGAAGTACACCTGGACCAGAGCAAGTGCCAGCTCAAGTGGAGTAATTCTGCTCCAGAAATTCATGGCCAGCCCCACGTGCCCAGAACGCAGACACACACACACACACTTTGTGCGAGCCTGCGCAATCGAAATGCATTTGGAGATTTCACAAGAGCAACTTTATACAGAAATTTACAGGAGAAATGCCCGCGCCCAGAATGAGCCCAGAACGCAGACACACACTTTGTGCGAGCTTGCGCGGTCGAAATGCACTTGGAAATTTTACAAGAGCCACTTTATACCGAAATTTAAAGGAAAAATGCCTGTGCCCAGAGTGAACCCAGAACGCGGACACACACTTTGTGCAAGCCTGCGCAGTCGAAATGCACTTGGAGACTTTACAAGAGCCACTTTACACGAACATTTACAGGTAAAGGCGGCAGACCAAGAGCAAGCAAAACTCGCGCCGCAAATTTTGTGCGAGCCTGCAAGATCGAAATGCACATGGAGATTTCATAAGAGCCACTGTATGCGGAAATTTGCAGGGAAAATGCCACGCCCCAGGCCCCAGAATGAGCACCCTGATCAAGCCTACCGTAAGAACCCCTCAGCGTGGACGCGGGAACAAAAACAACAACAACTACAAAATTTACAGCTACAACTACACCTACAACAACATCAATTGCAACTACAGCTAAAGACCCTCCCCAGGTGGGGAAAATCATCGTTTGAACAATTTAGAGGATGATTTCATTGGGCGGGCAAGGAATGGGAAGGCAAAATGTTGCAATGTAAAACGCCATTTTTGTGACCCACATCTTTGGGGGAACCCAGCGGGAGTCAACAATCGACTGTGACTAAGGATGGGCCCGAGGAAAACCAGCAAACTGGCGAAGCACTCGATGGAGCCGAGGCCAGATCTCAGGATGAAGAGTTGGTTGATGAAACCCTTGAACCTAAGGAGAATGATCAGAATAGACAATCAGACGCAGAAAACCCCGCGCCTGAGGAAAGACCTGAGGATGCGGAGGAGAATGATCAGACTAGACAATCGGGTTCAGAAACCCCTGCTCCTGAGGAAAGACCTGAGGGTGTAGAGGAGAGTGGTCAGAATAGACAGTCGGACGGAGAAAACCCTGCGCTTGAGGAAAAATCTGAGGATGCGGAGGAGAATGATCAGAATAGACAATCGGGTTCAGAAAACCATGCTCCTGAGGCAAGACCTGAGGGTGTAGAGGAGAGTGATCAGAATAGACAGTCGGACGGAGAAAACCCTGCGCTTGAGGAAAAATCTGAGGATGCGGAGGAGAGTGATCAGAATAGACAATCGGGTTCAGAAAACCATGCTCCTGAGGCAAGACCTGAGGGTGTAGAGGAGAGTGATCAGAATAGACAGTCGGACGGAGAAAACCCTGCGCTTGAGGAAAAATCTGAGGATGCGGAGGAGGGTGATCAGAATAGACAATCGGGTTCAGAAAACCATGCTCCTGAGGAAAGACCTCAGGATGAAGAGTTGGTTGATGAAGACTTTGCGCCTGAGGAGAGAGCTCATGATAGAAAAACGGGTAATGAAATCCCAGCGTTTGACGAGATATCCGAGGACCGACAACGAGAAGATGCGCCAGCTGCTTTTCAGGAGACATTGGAAGACACTCAGCCAGGGGAGCCAGAAAATGTAACTCCTCTGCTTGCGGAAGGGTCTGAAAATAGGCGCTTGGACGACGCACCCCTTGCACATGAGGGGGCGCCCCGCAAGAGCAAATCCAATGCATCCCGCTTGTTAGATGTGGACCATTTAATGACGAGCGTTTTGTCGCTGGCTGGCAGTTTCATTCCTTTTTTTCCACCTTAAAACATTTTAAACCGGGATGATGATCCCACATGGCTGCTAGTTCCACCCCTGCAAGGTAAGCACATGTAAGCACCAATCCTGGGCCGTAAAAGACGCTATACTGAACCAGGGTTTCTATAGGAGGTTCTTCCAGCCATATCCACAAGAATAGAACATAATAGAACTATAGTTGGAACCCGCGGTTCTTTCATGTTTGACCAACCTGCCCTCAGGACCGGACTGGTTTCACATCTTTGTGCTCCAGATGCTCCAGATGCTCCAGATGCTCCAGATGCTCCAGATGCTCCAGGGGCAGCTGATGAACCTTCAGGGGAAGAGTCGGTCGACCCAATGGAAGCTGAAGTGGATGAAGAAGACACCGAAGAAGTGCCTAGGTTGATGACATGCCTGGAACTTTTTGGAAAGGATTTAGAGTTGCAAGATCCATGCCGTTCTTCAACCATTTGCTTGCATTCAAGCAATCAAGCATAGCAATGGCAGATTCCATTACGTAGACCGTTTTTTTCCCAGACAATTTCCGTTATCAGAAGATTTGCCAACCAGCCATTGTGTTTGATTACCGGAGGGTAAGATGCTTCAACTAACAGAATTGGAACTAGTAGCCGTAATTGTGTTGATCTCCGGCAACCGAAGCCGCCGGTCAAAGGGTTGACATTTGGTCTTGTCCAACATGGGGATTGCTCAATACCTATCATATCATGTCATACGATGGAAAACCGTGAAAGTGTTTGGAGCCATATTCTTACACAAACCCATGCAGTGATGGGGCAACCATTTATCAATATTTATCAACCTGTTGGCAAACCATGGTAAACCAGATGATGTAAACCTCCCACTGTAGATGGTAAGACCTTACGCCCATATTTGGCAGGGCATTGGGGAGTGTTTATGGCAAGTTTATGGTTAAGGTTTTGGTGGCTTACCAGATGACGAAAAACATTGTCATGATGGATTGCAGGACAGAACCTGAATTTCGTCAACTATAGCTGGTTGCTTTCAAAGATTTCGTTTTCATCCAAATTTGATGACGGTCCCAATCAACTACCTTAAAGGTTTTGACGCCAGTTGGCTCCAGTTGGCTCAAGGTCCGGACCTTGAAGGCGAAGATAAAGCCTTTCGGCGGAGGTTGTGAAGAAGTACAGGAATTGTCCTGAAACCCAACGATTTTGAAAGCGATTTCCCGTCATCTAATAAATTTGGTGGAAATCAAAGGGGTAGAAAATACCCACAACTTATCTTGTTGAACTATGTTGATAGTTGAAACTATGTTGAGACTATGTTGATGCCGTGAGGTAGCTTGCATGTGCATGTCACCAGAGAAGTGCTTGGGGCAGTTTGTGCAGGAACACGGTAAAATTGTAGCGCTGTGCAACTGAAAATCAACTATCATGGGGCGGGGGCTCAAACCTCCAGCTCACAATGGGCGCAGGATATGTTCTTTGGACATGGCCACGGATCAAAACTTACAGGGGCCTGGACCCATACCGGATTGAACAGTTTGTTGATGTCTCCTACTCTTCCAGGGGGTTTTGTTACCCAAGATTGCAGAATCATATATCATCATATAATCATAAATCATATCATAAAATATCTGATCACTTCATTACAATCATATCCCTTCAATTCATACTATATCGTCTCATAGCGTTTCAGTTCATACCATATCAGATCAAAACATATCATATCAGAACATATCATGTCCAATCATTAAATATCAGAACATATTTATTCAGATAATATCAGAGCATATCAGACATATTATTTGGAATAATAACATATCATATCATGACATTTCCTTTCAATTCAAAACATATCGTATCAGAGCATATCATATCAAATCAAAACATCATATCAAAACATTTGTTTTCAATTCATAACATGTTATACCAGAACATGTTGATTTCATGTCATTTCCTGTCACTCACATTATCATCATCATCATCATCATCATCATCACCATCATCATCATCATCATCATCATCGTCACCACCACCATCAACGTCATCATGATCAGCAGCAAAAGCAGCAGCATCATCAGCATCACGCACTAGGAGTTCACATTACTTCTCAGGATCTTTCCTTTTCCCCATTACACCATTCATCTCCATCCCATCAGTCTTGATTATTTCACCATGAGTTGAACCCCCCACTCCTGGAAGCTTTTCGGGGTCGCCCTTATTTGACGCCAAATCGCTCAGCTCGCTGTCCCAAGGGACTTGAAAACTGCGGCCAAGTTGGATGCTGAAGCGCACATGGAAGAACTGTCGGTGGTGACCCTTTTCAACAAAACCATCGTGCCTGGGATGAACTTTGTGTGCGTGAAAAATCCATAGCAACCTGAAGATTCCGATTCGACAATTTAGTGCTGAAATCAGGCAATTTGATGCAATTTGTTGAATATTTTTTTAGCGATTGCTATATGTTGGAAATTTGATGTTCAATTGAGGATGGATTGAATTTAGTAATGTCAAATTGTTTACATGTGTATGGGTAGTGATAGGAACGATGAATTTTTCTTTGTTTATGGACGGGGGCATATTTTGTTGAAACCAATTTAGTATTTGAACAGAGGGTTGCCACACGGCATTTGGTTGAGCATGAACTAGAACATACTTCGTGGCACATTTGGTGTTTGAATGGGATGAAGGATGACATCTATCAAAGCATTTTTAACAATTCCATTTTTGCCGAACGTTCGCCAGGTAGAAACGACGAGAAAGCAAGTTGAGTTCTTTGGCGACGGGATGTGCGTGATGTTCGTTAGTTCTTGGATTTTTCCCTTTGTTTCTAGCTGGGTTTGTCAAAAAAATGGTTGACTTATGAAGAAAAATGTATGGCAATTGTCATGAGGAAGATCAATGATGATCCATGAGATTGGTACGGATTTTTTTAAAAGCAGGTTCAATGGTTTTGGGACACAGTTGGACTTGGCTTCTAGCATCATATCATACCCACATAGCGGTGTGATGCAGTTTTTGTTTGATAGACATATGAACATGGTATGGCTCGGTGTGACCCGCCAAAACAGTAGAAATATGGATCAAATTTATCAGCTGACATGGATAGTTTAAACCCCCATTTGATCAAAAAAATCAAATCACTGGGTTGGTTTAAGGGAAAAATTGCAGGATTGCGGGGCACCTCATTTTTCCAATGAAATATTTAAGGGTAAGATTCAAAAAAAAACTGAAACCAAGTCTGGGAATTTGTCGGAAAATTTGGAAACCTGAGACCATTCAATTGTTTTAACATGTTTTTTTTTCAACAGGTTTTTACATTTTTACGGCAATTTTGCGGTCTCCCTTCGCCCCATTTCGAGGCTGAGTCATGGCACCCCAATTAATGGTGGTGAACCCCGCTTTTGACAGTGTTGAAATTCACATTTTCCATCCTTTTTTAGCCAAAACATTGTAGATCCACATATCAACATCCAATGAAACCAACGGTTTATCATACGCAGGTTTATCCATGTCTATCCCTCTAAACAGTTAAAATACCATCACCCAATGATTTATATATCCTCATTGACATGTTTTACTGATTTATCCTCATTGACATGTCATGTTTCACCGTGAAAATGGCATCCTATTGGCATGGCCCCTTTTCATCCCATTCCGGTGACCATCCCGCCTTAGGGACTTGAACACCGAGAATCAACGCCTGAGACTGGAGCTGCCTCCTACTGAGGCGCTGATCAGGGTTGGGAATCAACAAAAATAGCCTCTGGTAATTTAACATATTGGTTTGAAAGGAGATGGTCCTTTCATGCTTTTTGTTTCCTTTTAGCATGGTGATTTTCGCTAGGGGGTTCGGTTGAAGAATCCCATGGTGGACCCACGGTGGATTATAGGTCAGTTTCACTTGGATGGTGATGGAGAGATAGAGGGATGAAACCACATGAAACCACGTAATTATACCATTCTTGACCATAGAAAGGAAGCCTTTAGCATCTTTAGCATTAGGGGAATGGCATTTTTTTTTTAAATACATGGATGGGATATAGCTAATTATAGATATGAATTCAGGATGAAGGGATTCATCGGATTGTTCCTGAAATTCAACAAATGGGCAGCCAATTGGGCAATGAATCTCCCATAAATCGGGATTCATGGCGATTCATGGGATGTAGTGCGGTTGGCCGCTTGGCAAGTTTTTGGGCCCCTAAGGGTGACCCATGACTAGAATGAATAGATGGCTTTCTGGGTCCCTAAGGGCCTTTAAGGGTTTGATGATGTTTGATGGTTACGACAACCACAGCGTGACGTCACTGGAATGAGGACTAGAATTGGGGGAATCATTCCCGAAATGGCCGCAAGTGTTAGGCTGGTGAATGATCATAATTTATCCAGATGTGTGCATGGTGATATTCATGTATTTATTGTTTTTTTTGTTGCTTGATTGATGCTATTGATTTCTTTGTGTTGATATGTAATTCTACTGAAGGTTTTGTTCGGGCTGAAATTGCTGGTTCTGTTTTTGGATGCTTACATATATATATATATATACATATTTAACATTATAAATATATATATATATGCATACATATATTTAATATTATATAGTGTGTATATTATATATATTAATACACACATATAAAAATAAATTTATATAGTGTAGACACACATATATATATATACATATATATATATATGTATAGGGATGGGTCCACTTCACACTTTATTGGAAAGAGAAATCCCCATCGAAATCCTGGATTTTCCGCCACATCATGCCACATCCTAAGAATCATGAGGCGTAGCGGCGTAGTTGTGTGATCTTCACTATGGTCCTATCTCTCAGGTAAGAAATATCCTGTTGGAAATCAGTTGGCCAAAGGAAATCGCACCCCCGAACTTCTTGGCAAACGTGTATCCAAAATCTTTTCCGCAACGTTCTGCAGTGATGTGTCGAAGGCCAAGGTTCGCTGGTTGATTTTTTGATTGTTGCTACCTTAAGGAACTGGATGACATACCTTCATCAATTGACTGAGTTCAAGTGGTGTTCGGAAATGCCCATAGTCTCGCATACTGAGACATACTGTTCAACAACCCCCTGGCGTGCAGGAATTGAAAAAGAAAATCGAGCTCCTCGGAATGGCACTGGACATCCGCACATTTCATTGGCAGTTTGATTTCTGTAAATAATGGAGGCCCAATTCCCCAAGCCCAACGGATTGAAACATCATTTTTGTGATTCTTAAGTGACGTGTGCCCCATGACAATTTTTTAGGGGGATATCCTATGATATCCTTTGGACAAAGCCATTTTAAGCATTTATGAATATATATTATGAATATATTATGAATATATTATGAATATATTATGAATATATTCTGAATATTTATATGATATATGTGGGTTCCAAAGCTGTGCGTTGTACAACTGGATCCATGTGGATCCATGTGGATGCATGTCCTGAGGGAGCAAACTGCGATCATCCGAACAATGGCAGAGAAAGAGGCGGGCAGTTGTGACACAAAACGCCACACAAAACGCGACACAAAATTCGACATGTTTCGGATGTTTCAGATGTTTCAGAATTCTTAGCTTTAGTCTCCTTGAACAACCAAGCGAACTTGGATTTACAGAGGATTTACAGTAGTTAAGTAGTTGGATCAACATGAATATTCTCAGCAAGTGGTGCGCGTCAGGTTATACTCCAGAGCCCCCAATCATTGCCTGATGCCCACTGGTGAACTTGAGTCACAACATGTCGCAATCACTTGGACTATCATCCCGCAACTCGTGGCTAGAGTCATTGAAAACAAAGACAATCCATGATTATTTCGGGGTCTTACCAGATTGGTTTGAGTATACACTTCACGTCAATTTGAATATACCTAGACCCTCATTAACCTCCAAAAATGAGGGTCACCTCAAAGCTCAAACGTCTGGTGTTTCAAGCCTTCTTTTTTGAGTATTGTACTTTGAGGGGTGAGATCGCCACTTGGCTTTCTTAACGAGTCATATAGCATTTATTTTGGCTGGTTGAATCATCACTTTGGTTGGTCAAGGCATGAGTTCCCGGATTTCTCAGCAAATCAACAGGGTTGCTGGTCAGGAGGAGGTCAAGGCCAAAATAAAGTGACTTGGCTCAGGTTTCTTGATTTTTGCCGCGGCCTCATTTATACAACCTTCAAAAAATGGATAGAACAGCGATGAAAAAGTGAACTTGCCATGCCATTTTGAACTATTTTCTCCGGAGGATTGCTGATATATATATATATACTGAAGTTCACTGCTTAAAAGGCGACACGTTTTATGAAGTTGCAACAGCCGCTTGACATTGGTCATCATTGTGGGGGGGCTACATGTGTAGTTGATTGGGGATTGTGTATGCATGGTTGCCTTCGGTGACCGCAGCTGGTTGAGATTCGCCTTCACCGTTGGATCACCGTAAATTGGGGGCTTAAATTACCATGAAAAAACCATGAAAGGTTACCGCCGCGCCATGCCGCGCCAAGGGAACTGGCATTGCAACACGAAGCACAAGTCCGTTTTCTCCAGGTGCGGTTCTTAGTGAAACCTGATGATCAAAGAGGGCTTATGGCAGCTATGACAGCTATGACTCAAACATTTCACCGTAAAAAGGATGATTCATTATGATTTAAACAGCAATAATATGCAATATATATATATATAGAATGACCATTTGTGTGGCCCCCAAAAACCCCAAACAAACACATACTGGTGCACTAATTGACTTGACCAAGGGCCATGTGACCATGCACTAGACTTTGATATCCAGAGACATCTAGAGTCATCATTGATGGGTTTTTAACATGCATTTTGCGTTGTTTGCTTTCTATCCTTCTTGGCTTTTCGGATTTTTGGGATGAACACAAGGCATCACAGGATCCGGTTTCCCACATGTTTTCTCTTCTATCTAATTCAGGGCACGAAACACCGAAACACAATGGCAATGGGATGCAACATGTGATTCTGGCCGCGGCTAGGCATGGATAGACATCAATAGACCTGGATAGACATTGCATAAATTGCATCTTTGTGTGTGTTTTTCAGTCATGTTTTTCCAGATGTTGGGCATTTTCACAAAAACAGCAGCTCGCAGGAAAACAGCGGCGCTGTCGATGTGGAAGTAGCTCAAGACATGTTGCTCAGATCCTGGGGATCGTGGGGTTCTGGGCTCAATGGTTTGATCTTTGGCATCCCAATTAGGATAATCAGGATGTGTAAAAAAAGGCCCATAAAAAATCGGCTACTTTGCCAATTTCATCCAATTTCTATTGAGGGTTAGTGATGTAAATGTGGCTCTTACCCTCAGCCACTGACAGCTACACCCTGAATGAGAAAGTCGATTTTGGAGGAACTTATTTTCCCAGCCTCCCATTTGGCATGTTCTGCCAGTTGGATTTATTTGGAGGGATCGCAGTTTACTTTCGCACATATTCATTTAAGGCTGGGAGGTACTTGATAGCGTCCAGTTTGAAGTTTATTGGCCCCTTGTAGATTGATATAAGATGGTGGTTTTTAGCCATCAATAGTCATAAGGCTTGTTAAATCATGTTAAATCTCTTATGATGTTGGGGGAAATCCTTGGTGCCCCCAAAATCAAGGTTGAAATCCTTGAGGATTCTTTGCCACCAACATTGTGGTTGAATCTGAGGGTCTGAGGGACGGCCATTGCTTCAGCTTTGGCCATTGGTGGTGTTGAACATCAGCAGGTCATGTTGATAAGATACCCATATTGGGGATGGTCACACCTTGAAACACAAGATTTTCACGGATCTAACATGATCTAACCATGGTTATGGTAAGGATTCCCAAGAATGGCAGGATGACCATAAGCCATTTTTCCAATTTTTCCCATTTTTCCCATTTTTCCCATGTAGCTCCACCATGGCACATATGATGAGTTACCTCGTTTATGGTGGAATTTTTGACCGCTCAGACATTGGAAACGATTGGAGAAACCAGCCGCACATTGGGTATTGCAATATTCCTTACCTCCAAAATGGATGGTTTAAGACCATTTCACTGGGTAAACCTTGGATGGGCACTTTAAGTGCTTCAATCTATCCAGCTCAAGACATGACACATTCCATGACCAAATATTTCAGCTTCCAGCCAGGCTTCAGAAAAGTTCTTTGATGCGCGAAGTGTACGACCAGATCATGGCCATTCTTCCAGGCTTGCTGCCGTGTGCAGCGGAAAGCACAGGAACTGCTTCCGCAGAAGTGGCCATTCCCGAAAAGAGGGACACCTGGATTCCGGCAGTTTCTTTTTTTTGGTGATTTCATATGCTTTCACAAGGATACTGACACCGATATAATAGATTATATACACAAATATATACACATATATACATTAAAAATATATATGTACTGTATGTACAGAAATAATTTATACATATAGTGTAATATAGTGGAGTATTGAAGGAATACAATGAGGGAGAATTGGACAACCTCCCGGATTTCGGTGGCCCGACAACAATGCTGGGCTTGTGTTTTGTATGTATTAACCAGCAAATATTCATTATTTCCTGCTGATATCAAATACACGTACAAGAGCCTGGTGAAATGTATGATGTTGTTCGTTTTTTGAGGATTATGTGGGGTGTATTTCATGTTATGGTGATTTTGGATTAAACGGGAAGGTCTTTGTGGCTATCCCAGCAAAACTATGACTTTGATTCTTTGATTTTACTTCGATAGTTATTCTTGTGGGCTACAAATCGGGTAGATATAGCAAAGAACAAATGGTTGATTTGAACCAACCATACTTTGCTGTTTTGGATGGTTTTCTCACATTTTCAAAGCGGAAATCCAACAGAGACGGGGGCTCCAGCATGTGTTTTTTGATATGTTGGGCAGCGGATCAGCAGTTATCCAAATTGGAAGGGGTTGTTTCAAATCCATTGTTGACCCAAAGTTGCGCAACGCCGGTTTTATTCAAACATTTTTTCGGAGAATATCCACCAGTAAAGGATGACGAACAGGAAACCATGTTGGATTTATTGAGGGGAAAGACTTCGAAGTATCTGCAAAGATCTTAGTGATTTTCAAGGCGCTTGGAAACAGCCAAGGAAACAGCACCTCTCGAGGTGGTTGACTCTGGGAGCGAAGACCCGGTGAAACGGGGAAAGAAGAAGAAGCAGAAAGAGCCCAAAGAGCCCAAAGTTTTCAAAGAGCCCAAAAAAGAAGAGAAAATAGAGAAAGAAGCGGCAGAATCAGCAGAGCCCCGAAAAAGGTTGCGGAAGTTGTCCGGAGATCTGGACGATACAGCGGTTGAGCCGAATGTTGCCAGCGAGCTAGAGCCCACAGAAATCACCCTAAATGAGCTCGAGCTTTTCATGAATGAAATTGAAGCTGGGACCAAGAAACTAGATGCAACCGGGCAAGAAATGCATGACTCACATGAACCAATGCTAGAAGCATTGGAGGATGACAAGACAAGAAAGGCACCCAGCGAAGAGGGAAAGAAGGACAAAACAGAGCAAAAGGCTGCCGAGAAGATTGCAGAAGCAGATGAAGATGAGCAAGCAAGAAAGGCAGCCGGAAGAGAGAAGAAGAAGGCTAGAATTGAAGAGCAGCTAGCCGAGCAGAGGCGCCAAGCTCAGACAAAAGAGAGAACGACAGACGCCTCTAAGCAAGAGAAAAAGAAGGATAAAACGGAGCAAGAGGCTGCCCAGAAGATTGCAGAAGCAGATGAAGAAGAGCAAGCAAGAAAGGTAGCCCGAAGAGAGAGACAGAAGGCTAGAATTGAAGAGCAGCTAGCCGAGCAGATGCGCCAAGCTCAGACAAAAGAGAGGTCCAAAGAAGACATAAAGAAGGACAAAGCGGCGCAAAAGGCTGTGGAGAAAATGGCAGAAAAGGAAGAGAGAAAGAAGCATAAACCGGAGCAAAAGGCTGCCGAGAAGAAGGCAGAAGCAGATAAAGAAGAGCAAGCAAGAAAGGTAGCCCGAAGAGAGAGACAGAAGGCTAGAATTGAAGAGCAGGTAGCCGAGCAGATGCGCCAAGCTCAGACAAGAAAGAGGACTCTGGACGCAACCAAGGAAGAAATAAAGAAGGGCAAAGCGGAGCAAAAGGCTGCGGAGAAGAAGGCAGAAGCAGATGAAGATGAGGAAGCAAGGAAGGCAGCCCCAAGAGAGAAAAAGAAAGCTAGAAGTGAAGAGCAGCTAGCCGAGCAGATGCGCCAAGCTCAGACAAAAGAGAGGTCCAAAGAAGACATAAAGAAGGACAAAGCGGAGCAAAATGCTGTGGAGAAAATGGCAGAAAAGGAAGAGAGAAAGAATGATAAACCCGAGCAAAAGGCTGCCGAGAAGAAGGCAGAAGCATTTGAAGACGAGCAAGCAAGCAAGGCAGCCCGAAGAGAGAAAAAGAAGGCAAGAACTGAAGAGCAGCTAGCCGAGCAGATGCGCCAAGCTCAGACAAAAGAGAGGCCCAAAGAAGACATAAAGAAGGACAAAGAGCAAAAGGCTGTGAAAAAAACGGCAGAGGCAGATGAAGGTGAGCAAGCAAGGAAGGCAGCCCCAAGAGAGAGTCAGAAGGCTAGAACTGAAGAGCAGCTAGCCGAGCAGATGCGCCAAGCTCAGACAAAAGAGAGGTCCAAAGAAGACATAAAGAAGGACAAAGCGGAGCAAAAGGCTGTGGAGAAAATGGCAGAAAAGGAAGAGAGAAAGAAGCATAAACCGGAGCAAAAGGCTGCCGAGAAGAAGGCAGAAGCAGATGAAGACGAGCAAGCAAGAAAGGCCGCCCGAAGAGAGAAAAATAGGGCAAGAACTGAAGAGCAGCTAGCCGAGCAGATGCGCCAAGCTCAGACAAAAGAGAGGTCCAAAGAGGACACAAAGAAGGACAAAGCGGCGCAAAAGGCTTTGGAGAAAATGGCAGAACCAGATGAAGATGAGCAAGCAAGCAAGGCAGCCCGAAGAGAGAAAAAGAAGGCTAGAACTGAAGAGCAGCTAGCCGAGCAGATGCGCCAAGCTCAGACAAAAGAGAGGCCCAAAGAAGACATAAAGAAGGACAAAGAGCAAAAGGCTGTGAAAAAAACGGCAGAGGCAGATGAAGGTGAGCAAGCAAGGAAGGCAGCCCCAAGAGAGAGTCAGAAGGCTAGAACTGAAGAGCAGCTAGCCGAGCAGATGCGCCAAGCTCAGACAAAAGAGAGGTCCAAAGAAGACATAAAGAAGGACAAAGCGGAGCAAAAGGCTGTGGAGAAAATGGCAGAAAAGGAAGAGAGAAAGAAGCATAAACCGGAGCAAAAGGCTGCCGAGAAGAAGGCAGAGGCAGATGAAGACGAGCAAGCAAGAAAGGCAGCCCGAAGAGAGAAAAAGAAGGCTAGAACTGAAGAGCAGCTAGCCGAGCAGACGCGCCAAGCTCAGACAAAAGAGAGGTCCAAAGAAGACACAAAGAAGGATGAAGCGGCGCAAAAGGCTGTGGAGAAAATGGCAGAACCAGATGAAGATGAGCAAGCAAGCAAGGCAGCCCGAAGAGAGAGAAAGAAGGCTAGAACTGAAGAGCAGCTAGCCGAGCAGATGCGCCAAGCTCAGACAAAAGAGAGGCCCAAAGAAGACATAAAGAAGGAGAAAACGGCAGAAGCAGATGAAGAAGAGCAAGCAAGAAAGGCAGCCCGAAGAGAGAGACAGAAGGCTAGAATTGAAGAGCAGCTAGCCGAGCAGATGCGCCAAGCTCAGACAAAAGAGAGGTCCAAAGAAGACATAAAGAAGGACAAAGCGGAGCAAAAGGCTGTGGAGAAAATGGCAGAGGCAGATGAAGGTGAGCAAGTAAGGAAGGCAGCCCGAAGAGAGAGCCAGAAGGCTAGATCTGAAGAGCAGCTAGCTGAGCAGATGCGCCAAGCTCAGACAAAAGAGAGGTCCAAAGAAGACATAAAGAAGGACAAAGAGCAAAAGGCTGCCGAGAAGAAGGCAGAGGCAGATGAAGACGAGCAAGCAAGGAAGGCAGCCCGAAGAGAGAAAAAGGAGGCTAGAAATGAAGAGCAGCTAGCCGAGCAGACGCGCCAAGCTCAGACAAAAGAGAGGTCCAAAGAAGACACAAAGAAGGACAAAGCGGCGCAAAAGGCTGTGGAGAAAATGGCAGAACCAGATGAAGATGAGCAAGCAAGCAAGGCAGCCCGAAGAGAGAAAAAGAAGGCTAGAACTGAAGAGCAGCTAGCCGAGCAGATGCGCCAAGCTCAGACAAAAGAGAGGTCCAAAGAAGACATAAAGAAGGACAAAGAGCAAAAGGCTGCCGAGAAGAAGGCAGAGGCAGATGAAGACGAGCAAGCAAGGAAGGCAGCCCGAAGAGAGAAAAAGAAGGCTAGAAATGAAGAGCAGCTAGCCGAGCAGATGCGCCAAGCTCAGACAAAAGAGAGGTCCAAAGAAGACACAAAGAAGGACAAAGCGGCGCAAAAGGCTGTGGAGAAAATGGCAGAACCAGATGAAGATGAGCAAACAAGCAAGGCAGCCCGAAGAGAGAAAAAGAAGGCTAGAACTGAAGAGCAGCTAGCCGAGCAGATGCGCCAAGCTCAGACAAAAGAGAGGCCCAAAGAAGACATAAAGAAGGACAAAGAGCAAAAGGCTGTGGAGAAAACGGCAGAGGCAGATGAAGACGAGCAAGTAAGCAAGGCAGCCCGAAGAGAGAAAAAGAAGGCTAGAACTGAAGAGCAGCTAGCCGAGCAGATGCGCCAAGCTCAGACAAAAGAGAGGCCCAAAGAAGACATAAAGAAGGACAAAGAGCAAAAGGCTGTGGAGAAAACGGCAGAGGCAGATGAAGACGAGCAAGCAAGCAAGGCAGCCCGAAGAGAGAGTCAGAAGGCTAGAATTGGAGAGCAGCCAGCCGAGCAGATGCGGGAAGCGGCTTCTGATGATAGGTTGGGTGCAGGAGAGAAACGCACAGAACAATCCAAGGAGAGAGAGAAAGATGAGCCGCAGAAGTTAGGTGAGCCGCCGGAAGTGGAGGGGTTGCCAGAAGCTGATGTGGCGCCTGAGCCTGAACCAGCCCGCGCAGCCTCTTCCAAACGGAAAGGGAAAAAGAGAAAGAGAAATGTTTCGAAGTGAGTTGGGCTTGTCTGAAAGCAGCACGGCCACAAATTCGATGTTTGATCATCACCACCCCCTAAACATTCCTAAATGTGCATACTACGGGGTTCCAACACAGTGTCAAAGTGTCAAAGGCCCGCTTTGATTGAGGGTTCGCAGGTGTGGCCCTGTGATGCGGGCATTCTCGCATAGCCTCTGAGATTTCCATGTTCGTGTTGATTTTGCAGTTTTGCGCCAGCCAAATGACCGCACCGCTGTGCCATGAGATGTGAAGATTGGTTTTTACCGGCGAATTCTTGGGGCTAATGTGCGTTTGGATGCGTTGGGTGTGGCAGGTGGCATTTTTTTAGTGGAGCATGTCAGAACCTCGTTGGGCGTGACAATTGCGCGACTTTAAACGCTTTTTTGGCGTTACAAGCATCTCGTGCAAGTTGTTAAACAAATGGCGGGCGCAAAATCAGATGATTTCGAGAAAATGAGAGCCATCGCTTTAAGGAACTTTCGTCATTCTTTGATTCGGTAGATGGTGACCATTTTGCGCAGCAAGTGGCAGGTGTTCAAGACATTTCAAGACTTACGTGGATTTATTTTTTGATGAATTTTCATCTTTCATTTTTCGGGGCACGGGATATTTGAATACATTTGGTGAATTTGTAACAGGCGCTCGCACGACACCATCTCCATTGTGTGCTCTCGTTGTGGTACGGTGCTTGTTTTGGCTAGCGGCACTATTAGCGACCCCATAGGAAAACACAATTTTCTAGTGGGTTTCGGGTGGGTGGGGGGCTGGGGGGGTTAGGGGACGCAATAACGTTCAATAGCGCTTGCACACATACAAGATGCTACACTACTTCACGTGAACTTCAGTTCGAATAAGATGTGATGCTACTTCAAACTAACCTTTTGTCCCTTACGCAATGCTACTCGTACGCTAAATCAAGCACACTCCATGTAACATAGATGTTGCTACGCTACTTGACGTTAACTTAATTTTAAATAAGATGTGTTAATTGAAGTTAACTTCGTGTATCATAGACGATGCTAGGCTACTTGACGTAAACATCATATCAATCAAATAGCATGTTATGCTACTTGAAGTTCACTTCGTGTAACATAGATGATGCTGCGCTACTTAATTCATTTCAAATAAGGCATCTCTTGTGAGAAAGTTAGGTTCCTGTCTCTTTTTCAAAAATCTTGAAAACCGCAATTCCACTGGCCAAAAAATGAAAAAAGGCCTACTTTCCTGCAAATACTAACGAATTTAAAGCCTTGAAATCTTGACTTCCACCTGCTCCGAAATGCAGGTTTTGAGCTCTTACCATTTTGAACAATGCTCAAATTCCTCAGGGCCTCAGGGTCGCTATTGGCGCACCTTGTTTTGATATCTCTTGCAAGGCCATCCCTGCACCTTTGCGCAGAGATCTGGTGAATTACAAGGGATCCTTGTGGTGCAAATGTGGTGCAAATGGAAACTTACTGGGCGACTGGGTCTGTTTCAAAGCTTCTTCTGGCGAGTTCCTTGAAAGATCCATACAGATCCATACAGATCCCATGAGTTTTTGTGAATTCTTTCCCGTGAAGGGTCCTAGTGCAGAATCGCAGTTTCCAATGGAGGGTTCTTGTAAAACATTTTGTGAATTCTTGCGCGGGTCCTTGTAAAGATATTTGATTTTGGGTGGTTGCGAGGCTTTGCAGCTTGCTTTCATGGCTGGTTGTGAAGAAAACCGTTGTCTTCTTGCTAAGGGTTTTATATGCAGATCGTGCGAATCCTTGTGCAGAGAGCTCTTGCGGTTTCCAAAAGATCTTGTGAGTTTTGAAAGGGCCCTTGTAAGCACGTTACGAGTTCTTGGGAACAGTCCGTCCTTGTGAGTTCTTTTGCAGAAATCTTGCCAGTTCTTGGAGAGGGTCCTTGCATAGAGATCCTACAGTAGTTCCTGCCAAGGATCCTTGTGCAGAGATCCTGTCAGAATAGAGATGTTGCGCATTCTCGTACTGTAAATAGTCCTTTTATAATCTTTTATATAAGCCTTGTGAAGTCTTCAGTGGGCCTAAAGAGATCCAATGCCAGCACTTTGGTGAACTACACTCTGTTTGGGGCCTGCTGGAAGAGTTCGGTGATTCACCATGATTCACGTAAGGGCACCATTGGACAAACCCACTCACTGGGGGCAAACCATCAGCTGAAACTAGCGAGATCATGCTGTCGGTCATAAAAGTTGCGCAGCTGGGTGATGGGTGATTTTGGATCTTTCGGATGCTTCATTGCACCACATTTGCACCACATGTGCAGCATATTTGCAGCATTTGCGCGTTTGTTTCCTCGTTTCGTGCTGTAAAAACTTGGCATCTCGTCCTGGCAGGTCCCAGATGACAGCTTTGAAATTCAGAATTTCAGGTTCGTCCCATGCAATATCCACGTTCTGATGCCAATGCTCTCTTCGGAAATAGGAAGGGCCGGAAGGGCCGGAAGGGCCAGAAGGGCCGGAAGGGCTGGAAGGGCTGGAAGGGCCGGAAGGGCCGGAAGGGTTGATGATTGACATTTATTTTATTGGTCTTATTGAAGGAATAGCTGACTGAATCAATGGTTGAATTAGCCACTGAAAGAATACGCGGGTGAATGACTAACGTGTGGGGCACAATGGGCAGCTTCTGTTCTTTGACTTTCTTGGCCAGATCTTCCCTGAAGGAGGTCTTCTTTGCTACTTCTCTGAGTTACTTCTCTGAGCCACCTCTTCTGTGTTCTATTCTTCTCTTAGTAACTCTTCTTGATTTTTCTTTGAAACAACCCTTCTGCTACATCTGCTTTCTGCCCAATTCTGCCCAACTGTTTTCTGAAACAACCCTTCTCCGAGCTACTTCTCTTCCCAGGTTTTTTCTCCCTTAGCAGGGCAGAGAGATAAACATTGAAACGCTAGACAAGCTAAGAAAAGTGTTTGAAAACCACGAAGAACGAAGGGAATTCAAAGATAGAACGCCTAACAAAGCCAGAAAAAGGCGAAACAACATGTTTTCTTTCAAATTCAGATGTCAGAGGTCAGATTTCACAGGGAAGCTGTGAATCAAATCTTGTTTCAGCATGATCTTATCCTCTTTCCATCTCTTTCCTGCAAGCTGTTGCTTGACATTTTACAATCCAGTTGCAAGGACTGGTGCTTTAGCCTTGGGTGCGCTGCCGGAGCCTCAAAATTGAAAACATGTAAGATCGACATCCTATCGACTGGATATAGGTGTCCAGTCTATTCCAGTCTGAAGTCGGGAAAAGATGTCCAGTGATGTCATTCATATGAATTCCATTGAAGTGTCCTGATTTCATGCGTTTTTTTCCGGATATTCTTTTGCTGTGTGACTTGCAGGCATGAAACTCAGCTTGCTCTGCGTGCTCATGCAGAGGCACGGCATATCGAGGAAATTCGAGGAATCTTGCCCATCATCCTTGGGCCCTTGGGTGCGTGTGCGGTGCCAGATTCTGAACATGCCGCCATTACTAAATTTTTACAGACATTGGAATTGCAGAACATGATTCCGCGAGGTTTGCGGCTCAATGTTTGTGTCACATTGTGTCACCCATTGTCAATGCACCAAATCTCGCTTCGATTGCCAGCCCTTGACCCTTGTTGAGCCAAGCATCAAACATGTTGGGGATGCAATGGATCCATGATGGAAGAATGCGGAAATATTCAGAAGATACCTCACAAAGGTTATTACTGCCTACCTCTGATATCCCTATCAATACGGTATTGATAAATTATGCATCATGATGTATAGTTAATGATTTGTTAATGACGAATGATAATATGTTATAATTATATAGTCAATATTAATTAATATGAGTTGATACTAGCTAATGTTAATCATAGTTATTTTTAATATAATGTTCTATATTGTCATGATCCATGAGTGACATCTCACATCTGCAAACTTTCCAAGGTTGAGGCAGCCAGACGAGCAGCAGAGGTAGGAGTTTTTTTTCACTGCAGGGATTTTTGCAACTTTGGAGATCTTTGGAGATCTTTGGAGATCTTTGGAGATCTTTGGAGATCTTTGGAGATCTTTGGACCATCCAAAGTGATTCGTTTTGGCATCTTTTGGCAGTTTCAACAGTCAAGATCCCTGTGATCCGACAGGTGGCCAGTCGAGCTGCAGGTGTTGCAGGAACTGTGGCGAAGAACTTAGTTTTGACCTAAGAATCGACCGGAGACATGTTTGCCATTTTCTGCCGGTATCTCAAGTTGGTACTTGGATGTACTTGGGTGAATATTGGATAGAGTGGTGAATATGATTGAATATGATTGAATATGCATTCAGCAGTCAAAGAGTTGTGGAGGCAGCTTTGGCTGCCGGGGATTTTGTTCCTATGCCACGTGCTCCTCCTTCAGAGGACGACCTTCATTGCCATTGAAAATAGCCTGGCTGATTGATGTTGATTGGTTACATTTGGTTTCTATAGGGAATTATCATGAATTATACTACCGGGGTAACCAACCAGAATGTTATGTGAATAATGAGATCTTGTTCGACTCATCTTCACCAGCAACAAGCGACTCATCGACTCATCGACTTTCGTTGGTGAGGAGGCTATCAGACCTCCTGAACGGGAAGAAGTCAAGATGGAGGAAGTGTGATAGTACCATCTGGTTATGACTAACATAGCCATGGAAAATCACCATTTTTAATAGGTAAACCATCTATAAATGGGCCATTTTCCATGGCTATATTAAATAACCAGAGGGTAACTGTGGGATGCTGCGATGATTTCTGAGCCTCCAACATACCCAAAAAAATACACCAGGGTCTAAGATGGTCTGCCACCAGGGCTCCAAAAATAAAGGTCTGAAATGGTACTTTGTTCATGTTAGACCTTGGCAACCTGATCACATAAGACCCTTGAACTATATATAAGTCCAACTAGATACAAACTTCCTGTTGAGAGCAGTGCCGCAACTGCTGAGATCTACAAATTGCCAGGGGCTACGGACTGCTTTTGCATGGATTTGGTCCTGCATGACGTCGAAGGCTGAGATCTACCAAAGGCGGATGGGCAAGGGCTGATTTTTAGATCAGATTCGGATCGGACTGAGGTCCCTCTTCTGGGTAGATCTGCCATGTTAGACACGGCTCGGAAACATGGCACTCTACACAGCCGTTGCCTGCGCTTGAACAGGCCTTTCCAACACAGTGCCAGGTGGGTGTGTTCTTCCTGGATATTGCGATTGTCATTGGGTTTTGATCTTAGTATACCTTTGATTTTTTAAATGACAATCTGAATATGCCTTGAGAAATCTTTCCGAAGCCATATTTCTGCCCCAGGATGCAGATCTTTCTGGAATCCATTGGTCAGAAGCGAACTGGCCAATTTCTCGGTCCAAGCCAACTCAGCCAGACTTTTTTCTTGCAAGATACATGAAGAAGTATGAAAACATAAGTTTGGAGAATCCACAACAACTTTCAGTGCCATTTGCTTATGCACTTTTCGTTCAGTTCAAAGATGGGTTGGTTTCCTGTTTACCTTTGATTTAACATTGATTATCATGGATTTATTATTGATTTATCTAATTTATCTTTTGTTTGTCCAAAGAGTGAGTTTCGGCCCAACAAACATCAGAAATCGCCTCTCACCGCCAGCGTTTGAGGTCGGGAGATCATGTCCAAAAAGGCCATGGCAAATGCATTGGCAAAGCAGGCGCAACCATCAGAGTCCAGTCAGACCTATCAGACCATTTTCTGAAGGGATGGCATCTGGGATCAAAATTCTGTCAGATGCTGGCATATGGCAGAAGGGGTTGTGACGACTATTTTATGGGTGGGCGAATTGTTCCCACATTTTTTTTGGCGTTGAGGTAGACATTTCACATTTGCTGAACTGAACATGTCATCCTTGAAAGGCAACGAGTGGCACAGGGTATTGACAAACCACCAGACAAGTTAGGTTTGGAAACGCCTGGCTGGTCACCTTGGAATTCCATAACAGAAAACAAAGAGGTGATATGGAACTGAGCGTATTGTCGGTACTGGGAGATAGTGACAGTGGGATCATGTGACGACCCATGACGACCCTAAATGGTCTCGATGTCCTGTTTGCTGAAACCTTGCAGGCAGCACAGCGTGGTGTTTCCACTGGCCAGGCCATTTGGTGGGTTTTGAATGGTTTTGATTCAGGGATTTGTTGGTCTGGGGATGTCTGGGGATATCGAAATTTATGTGTTTTGCTATGTTTTGCTGCAGATGTTGCAACATTTTTTCCTGTTGGTCTCTTTTTTTGGGCCAGGTGATGTTTCAAAAGCAGCGAATTCGGGATCAAATCATTGCATCATGGGTGCTGATGGTGCTGATGGTTTTTGGATCAAAACTTAAAGGCACCAGGAGCATGCCGAAAAACATGAGGCACAGGATCTGTGAGATCAAAAATTGTGAGTGTTTTCCAATCCACTAGTGTTTCATGAGATTTCATGATATTTCCACATGCTCAGAGCCTGCTTGCTGGACTTGCTGGATGTATTCCAGCGCGTTGACGGTGAAACCCAAATGGCTGGCCCTGATTTTGTGCGGTGAAAAACGCTGGGAGATTCGACAGACCAATACCGCGGCGCGTGGTCGAATCGCCTTGTTGGCCAGCGGATCCAGTTTGATTTATGGCTCTGATGCTTGGATCAAGCTATCGAAGCTGGAAAAAACCTGAAGATTGGAGATATATGATGAGATATGACATTATGAGATAGATAACTTCAATTTTTATAGATCATACTATATATATAATATTTTGGGTGTATCGAAGAATGATGTAGGCATGGATGCACCCACAATTCCATTTTTTGTGAATGATGATCAGCCAATCAGATGATACATGATGACACATGATGATACATGATGATAGCCTATTTTTAAACGAACCATGTTTAATCCTAGTCTTGCTTCGGGGTGAACGTTTCATTCACAGATTTTCAAGTTTGGTTCCATGCCAATCCCCTTGGTATTGGCTTGACTTGACCTGACTTTTGCTGATGGAAAAACCACTTGAAATTCAACACTTACTACAAAAGTGGTTGTTAGAACACCTCCCCCCTTGAAAACTCGCAGCAATGCCATTTCTTCAGCACCTCCAAATCAATCAAACATGGAAGAACGAAATCCCTTCCACAATTTTCAAAGATGGACATTTATACGCGAAAATCATCTATAAAATTGGGAAATGTCCAGCAAAAAAAATAGAAACATTCCAGAGGAGATGGAAACAGCGCCACAGCCCAGCCAACCCGATATTGGAGGCTTCAGATGGCTTCAGGATCTGGCCCACCATTGGTTTATATTGGTTTCCTTGGGGCACTTAGGTCGATCTCTTCCGGACGTACCATAGGACAAGAAGAAGTTTGCTGGGGAAAAAGGCACATCATTGTATCCCTGAAGATGATATGAAGGAGTATGTGACCTGCAGAGGTGCATGGGTTTGGGAACTGAGAAATCCCATGATTCTCCTACGGCCTTTCCAAGTGGAACGGCGAGAGGGCTCCGTTTCGTGGGTGAAATTGGATGAGATGACCATGACACTTGTTGGAGGAGGCATTTTTGGACCTTTTCCCAAGTTAATCCCAAGTTATAAGCTACTTGGGGGTTTCTTTGAATGCGGAGGTGGCCATTGATGCGGAACAATTCTTCAATTTTTTTAGAAATAAAACGCTCTGTTTTTTTCCAGATTTGGGCTTCAGAATGCTTCAGATGCTGAGGAAATCTTTGCAAGAGCGTGCGTGCGCATCGTGTGCTTCTGGCGCTTCTGAAATCAAGGAGGCTCTCCTTCAGGACATGCAGCTGGCAGCTGGGTATTTCAAATCCTTGCCGCCGCCTGGATGATGTTTTCGAACCGGTTTTTGCTTCAGCGCCCCAGGGCGCCCCATAGCTTTTCATAGTTTTTCATAGGTCATTTAAATTCATTTAGGCTGAATCCATCACTATGGGGCAAATCTACTGGTGGATTCTTGTGATGACTTGCTTGATGTTTTTGATCTTTTTGATGGCACCCAAACTTTTTGGGCCACGTTTCTGATGGATGACATCTCCATTTGTTGATGGTCAAACCTCACTTTAGGGTTTAGGGTCACCATTCCCCGGAACGTAGATCCAGCCCACAGAGGTTTCCGAGGACCAGTCTGACTTTCCCTAAGAAAAAACTCGGCGATTCTCGGTCCGGCTGATCTGTTCCAAAAAAAATCCACGTTGATCTGAAAAATCTTAAATCATCGCAAATCTCGGTGAAATATGGTGAAATATGGTGGAACTCCTGGATCAAGGAAGCTGCCACCGAAGCCGCCAAGTCCACCGAAACGCAGCTTGAAAGAGCGTTTTCAGCTGGGCGCTCGGGCGGAAGCTGCGCAGTTCTGGCGGAGGATGGAGGTGACGGATGCGAAAGTGGCTCGGTGGTTGCGTTGTGCTGGATTTACCCTCTGGTAATTTAACATAGCTATTGAAAATGGCCATTTATAGTGAGTTTTCCCATTAAACATGGTGATTTTCCATAGTTATGTTAAATTACCAGAGGGTACCCTGATTTACCCTCTGGTAAACTAACATAGCTGCATATAGCTGCTTTAGCTATGAAGAATTGATAAGAATTGCACACCTGGTGATTTCCGTATTCAAATGTTGGTGAAAACCATGGCTATGTTCAGTTACCAGAGGGTAGTGGATAGGAGATTTAAGCGGGAAACATATGGATTAAATGATTTAACCATAGAATGGGTAGATCGGGGCGATTTGTGATGGGGTTGCAGCCAATGACGATCTGCTTCGTGTTTGATCTGGTCTCTTCCATCCTACGATCCCTGTTGACCAATGTTTGCCATGTTTGCCATGGGGCCAGCCAAGGTTGTATTATTGTTTCTTTCCTGAAACACAACCTAAACAACCAAAACCGGACGACCTAAATTTTCCAAAAGCACCCATTTTGTTTCTTAACCATTCTTTTTTGGGGGGCACGTCCTGAAAACCACAAACTTGAAATCAGTGGGTTTCCGTACACAAATGACCTGCAAGCGGTTGTACAAAATCGGAGGGTGGATGATGGTGGTCGGCCCAAAATCATTCCAATGCATCATCATTTTTCCCGAATGCGTAGCAAGGGTTTCCGTTTCACTCTGGGGGTCTGGGGGTTGAGGGTGTGTTCGCTCGACGTTGCGTTCGCGAGCGCAACCGTTCGTGTGAGGACCGTATGGCCGTGCCTATGGGAAGTTTTGCAGAGGTGGTCCTTTTTGGAGGTTTCAGACGTCTGGTTGCTTCGTTTCGCGTGGCAGGCGTGGCACTTCGTGACATTCAGACGTGTTCTGCAACGTGTCGAAAGTCGTTTTGCGTGGCAGGCGCAATACTTTTGCGACGTTTTCAGAAGATGTGTTGCAGTTTTCGTGGCAGGCGCAGCACTTTGGGCGTGTCCATCGTCATTTTTCGTGGCAGGCGCAGCACTTTAGACGTGTCGCGTTGCGTGTTTTTTGCAAATCGCATTGGCAGGGCTGCGTCAAGTGGCGACAAGGTGCAAATTCTGTGGCAGGCGTGGCATTTTGTGCGATGTGCTGAAAATTGACGGAAGCCTCGCACGAAACATCGATTTTGATGTTGCCAATTTTCGGGTTCTAAGGAAAACTCGTAGGAAAACGTCAATTTTGAAGCTACAAAGTGTGAAATTTGGAGGAATTCTCGCACGAAATGCTCGTTTTGGTGCTCCCACCTGTCTCGTCTCGCGTCTCTGGTTTTCCCGTGGCCTCGCCGTGTCTATGGGGGAAGCTGCAGAACTTGTCCTTTTGTCATGTTGCCAACTGTGAAAATTGGAGGACGTCTCGTATGAAATGCTGGTTTTTCTGCCTCCACGTGTCTTGTCTCGAGTCGCTGGTTTTCCTGTGGCGTTGCCGTGTCTATGGAGGAAGCTGGAAAACCTGTCCTTTTCGAATGTTTCCAGGCAGGCTGTGTTGTTGTTTTGCGTGGCAGACGCGGCACTTTCTGACATTCCAACCTGTTTGATGATGTTCACAAAATTTCAAAATTGGAGGAAGTCTCGTAGGACATGCTGGTTTTTCTGCACCCACGTGTCTTGTCGCAAGTCTCTCGTTTTCCTGTGGCGTCGCCGTGTCTATGGGGGAAGCTGGAAAACCTGTCCTTTTCGAATGTTTCCAAGCAGGTTGTCATGTCGTTTTGCGTGGCAGGCGTGGCACTTTGTGACATTCCAACTTGTTTGATAATGTGTTGAAAATGTCAAAATTGGAGGCAGTCTCGTACGAAATGCTGGTTTTTCTGCATCCACATGTCTTGTCTCGAGTCTCTGGTTTTCCTGTGGCGTCGCCGTGTCTATGGGGGAAGCTCCGCACTCCACACTCTACACTTTACACTCCGCACTCCACAATTTACACTTTACACTCCACACTTTACACTTTGCCCTTTACACTCCTCACTCCTCACCTGAGACTTTACACTCCACACTCCACACTCCACACTTTACACTCTACGCTCCACACTTTACATTTTACACTCCACACTCCACACTCTACACACCACACTCTACACTTTCCACTCCACACCCCACACTCCACACTCTACACTTTACACTCCACACTTTATACTTTACACTCCTCACTCCACACTCTACACTCCACACTCCCCACTTTACACTCCACACTCGACACTCTACACTTTCCACTCCACACTCCGCACTCCACACTCCACACTTTACTGTACACTCCACACTCCAGACTTTATACTTTACACTCCCCACTCCACACTCCACACTTCAAACTCCTCACTTTACACTCCACACTCCACACTCCACACTCTACACTCCACACTTTACACTCCTCACTCCACACACTCCACACTTTACACTCCACACTCCACACTTTACACTCCTCACTCCACACACTACACTTTACACTTCACACTCCACACTTTCCACTCCACACTCCACACTCCACACTTTCCACTCCACACTCCACACTCCACACTTTACACTCCACACTCCCTTCTCTACACTCCTCACTCCTCACTCCACACTTTACACTCCACACTTTACACTCCACACTCTACACTTTACACTCCACACTTTCCACTCCACACTCCACACTTTACACTCTACACTATACACTCTACTCTCCACACTTTACACTTTACACTCCACGCTTTTCACTTTATCTCCACTCCTCACTCCACACTTTACACTCCACACTTTACACTCCACACTCTTCACTTTACACTCCACACTCCACACTCTACACTCCACACTTTAAACTCCACACTCCACACTCTACACGCCACACTCTACACTTTCCACTCCACACTCCACACGCTACACTCTACACTCCACACTCTCCACTTTACACTCTAGACTCTACACTTTACACTCTACACTTCGCACTCTACAATTTACAAACGCCACACTTTACACTCCACACTTTACACTCCTCACTTTACACTCCACACTCCTCACTCCACACTTTACATTCCTCACTTTACACTCCACACTCCACACTTTGCACTTTACACTCCTCACTCCCTACTCTACACTCTACACTCTACACTCCACACTCCACACTCTACACTCCACACTCTACACTTTACACTTCATACTTCACACTCTACACTTTACACTCCATACTCCACACTCTACACTTTACACTCCACATTCTACACTTTACACACTCTACACTCCCCTCTCCATACTTTTTACTCTCCACACTCTACACTTTCCACTCCACACTGCAGACTGGTAACAAGGGAAACATGCACAAGACTTTTCAAATAAACTATTGCAGAAAGGTATTGTGCGTGACTGCAAAACCATGTGTTTTCACATCTGTACCATTAACATACGTGTGAGCATTCGGGTTCGTGGGCTTCATCTTGTTTCTGGACAGTTATTTTTGTTTTTTCTTGGATCTCAAACTAAGTTTGTATGTGTTTTCACAATTTAAATGGATGGTTTGGGGTACGCCCCATTTTTGGACCCACAAATGAAGTCGTCATTGATACGATTATATACACCCATTCATTATTTGGCAAGGTGAACAACATCCATTTAACCCTTATTAACCCCAGTCCACACACGTTTCCACCCAACATGTTGCTAATTTAGAATTGTCAACCATAGTTGATTATCATCGTTACCCATCATATACTACGTATACCGTATACCACTGAAAAACTGGTTATACAGATGCCAATTATTTCCCAATTGTTAGTTGTAAAAAAATCATGTCTTCCATTTTGATCCCACATATCACATATCATCCATTTCAGGAGGCACCCCATATATCTCCAATTACACCCCCATTCAATTATAGCTGGGTATAGTCCAGTGATAAGAATCCCCATCCGTTGATACATCTGATTTCCTCAGGGTGAACCGTTAAAGATAGGTCTGTTGATTGGGGGGGTAAAAAATGACAGGTCTATCGAAGATTCAATCCACAATAGGGACACCCAGGACACCATAGGACACCTAACCACATTTTTTTTCAATGGGATAGTTTCTTTTCCGTTTTGGCATGGTGAACCCAAAACTTCTCCCAACAAGAAATCCCCAAACAGTTTCCGACCCTGTATATCATCAGTATCCATCAGTGGCATGCAAAACCTGTATATCATCAGTACCCATCATATACCCCGGAAAAACGTATAGTGATATGTATATATATATATGCCCATTATATATAATTATGTCCTAAATATATCCTAAATATATCATATATATATATACGTATATATATCTCCTAAATTTGTCCTAAATATATCAGTCATCATTGGCAAATCTCCGAGATCCCATGTATCCCCCTTAAAACAGGTGGCATACAAAGTCTTTTGGACGGTGACCGCCTGGCATGCGTTCAGCCCCGGCCCAGCTCACTTGCTCCGTCGCTTGTTGAGACACTTGACGCGCCGGATCAAAGTGGATCAGCTGGGACCCAAGAAGCTGAAGAATCTCAGGAAGTGTCTGAAGCTCTTGAGGAAGACACCTGGTGTTTTTGAGATTTTGTGTGTGTGTTTGTGTGTTTTCTTATGGGGTTTTTTGGAGTTCGTGATTTCTGAACTAATCCACCCTTTGAAGTTTTTTCGTGATTTCCCTCTGGTTGATCCGTCATTTTGGGGGAAACCATTGGGACACTTTTCGGGGAATTTTTTGGTGGATTAACATGACAGAAACTGGCAGAAACTTCGGGAAATCCATGGAAATCCCATGAAAATTCGGTGTGAAAATCATTGATCCGTCGAGGAAAGCGTCTCTATCAAAGCCGTTCCAGAAGTTGTGGGAGAAGGTGACTGCTGCCCAAACAGCACTTGAAAAGAGCTGAGGCCGGGGACGATCCGATATGAGCGTGGTGATAAACCTGCAAAAAAATGCAGGTTTAATTGACCAGGGAGTCATGAATTAATATGATTTATAGATTTTTTCCTAGGTCTTAGCGAAGGTTTAAGTACAAAAAAACTGGCAGACTATGAAAGATCAATTGCTCATCACTACAGTCACTACAGGACTGCAGTGTGGATTATCACAAATATCACAAACCATTTTGGACATCTCTGTGGGATAACGGGGTTATACCCAGAGAAAGGGTATTGTCCACGTGTCATTTTCTTGAGTCGCAAGATACTTCAAGATATTGGGGCAGCTTTAACAGCTTTGGTAGAACTTGATTTCTGGCACTGGAGCGAAGATATGCGAAGATGAGCTAAGCAATACTTTTTGTTGACTCCAAACGCACAATCTGCCTTCATCTATATGGTTTCCGATCCTCATTGACTCAGTGGGGCTTTCATGGCTTCCCCTGTGGCCAGGTAGCTGCCAGCAGATGGGTATCTGAAAATGGGAGACAGCAGACAGCTAATGTCAGCAAAAATGCATCATGTTTTACTCGGCAAAAATGAGACGCTGAACTTTTTTCATCAAACATTTCTATAAAAAAACAAACCAACGAAGGTGGTTTTCATTGGTTTTCCCTGAATTCTTCAGACCCAAAAATTGCCAAATTCAACGGATTTTCCACGGCTGCGTGTTGCAGCTGGCGGCCTTGCAGGAAAAAGTTGGGCACATCACTGGTTTTTCCTGGTTTTTTGATACAATTTGCCATGGAAAATGATCGATTTTTTAGTGATGTATCTGTAAGAACTGGCGATTTGTTCCGTATAAATTACCAGAGGGTATAGACATCTTCACTCAATCTATAGTGAGCCACCCGAAGATTTTAGTGTGTCATAGTGTGTCAGACCCTTCCAGGGAGCCGTGCAAAGGTTTTACTCTCAAGGACGCAGGTTCCAAGTTGTTTGGGCAGAACCGGACGCAGATATTCGCTTTCATCCTTGCTGATGTTTGAATGAGTTGCTTTTAGGATGTTTAAATATGTTTAAGGCTTAGGCAATGAATCGGAAAGCCATGGAAACCATGGGTCATGGTAGTGATGGAGTGATGGTAGCTGTAACCCCAGATTTGAATTCACATCAATCAACTGTATAGCCGTATAGCTATACAACTATATAGGTTCGTCAGAATTTAGTACCGTTTTCTCCCAACAAAGATCCATGGTAAACCAAGAGCTGGGACAACGTCGTGTTCATTGTCTATCGTCCAATTTACCATGATCTTCTCAAAAAAGGGTATAAAAATGTCAATTTCCACCGGTTTTTGCCATGGCCAAGAAACGAAAAGCTGCAGGTCCGTGGAGTCAACGACTGGCACAGCGGACGCAGCTGACACAGCTGACACAGCGGGCATCGCGCAATACCGTGTGGTGGGGGATGCCAAAAATACACGTGTGGACTTCGAATATATGGTTAGTAGATGCTAGGATTAGGGTAACTATCTCAAAATAGCCATAAATAGCCGAACTGTTCAAGTTCGTGAATTGTAGTTTATCCATGTTTATCCAGCTTTTATTGATATATGATATTTGAGATCTTATGAGATTAAATGGTTATATAACCAGCTAAACTGGGAATATCTCATGGGGTATAGAACCAACATGTTTTTTTATGAAAACAATTCGGGGTACGGACCCAGTTGCCCAGGTCTGAAAACGGATTTTGTATATCCATTATTTTGATGGCGGTTTGGAAAAACACAATGCACCAGTGGATTTAGGGATGTTTTATATGTTTTCAGAATCCAAGTTGTTCGTATCCTATACATCGTTTTCAGCCATTGCATGGGGTATATCTCACAAAGAAGTGGGTGCCGAGATGGCTACGATGCCTTGGCTGCCATGCCTTGGAAATGGAAACACAAAGAACGGATGTATTCATTTCGTATCTCTTGGGGAAAGACTATTCAATATACACCCTGTGGTAATTTAACATAGCTATTGAAAATGGCCATTTATAGTGGATTTTCCCATTAAACATGGTGATTTTCCATAGTTAATTATGTTAGTTTACCAGAGGGTACTATACACATTTTTCCCGAATGCGTAGCAAGGGTTCCCGTTTCACTCTGGGGGTCTGGGGGTTGAGAGTGTGTTCGCTCGACGTTGCGTCCGCGTCCGCAACCGTTCGCAACCGTCCGCAACCGTTCGCAACCGTTCGCGCGATCCCCGTATGGCCGTGCCTATGGTAAGTTTTGCAGAGGTGGTCCTTTTTGGAGGTGTCAGACGTGTCGTTGCTTCGTTTCGCGTGGCAGGCGTGGCACTTCGTGACATTCAGACGTGTTCTGGAACGTGTCGAAAGTCGTTTTGCGTGGCAGGCGCAATACTTTTGCGACGTTTTCAGAAGATATGGTGCAGATTTCGTGGCAGGCGCAGCACTTTGGACGTGTCCATCGTCATTTTTCGTGGCAGGCGCAACACTTTAGACGTGTCGTGTTGCGTGTTTTTTGCAAATCGCATTGGCAGGGCTGCGTCAAGTGGCGAAGAGGTGCAAATTCCGTGGCAGTCGTGGCATTTTGTGCGATGTGCTGAAAATTGACGGAAGCCTCGCACGAAACATCGATTTTGAGGTTGCAAATTTTCGGGTTCTAAGGAAAACTATGGAAAACTCGTAGGATAATGTCGATTTTGAATCTACAAAAATGAAGAAAATTGGAGGAATTCTCGCACGAAATGCTCGTTTTGGTGCTCCCACCTGTCTCGTCTCGCGTCTCTGGTTTTCCCGTGGCCTCGCCGTGTCTATGGGGGAAGCTGCAGAACTTGTCCTTTTGTCATGTTGCCAACTGTGAAAATTGTCGGAAGTCTCGTACGAAATGCTGGTTTTTCTGCATCCACGTGTCTTGTCTCGAGTCGCTGGTTTTCCTGTGGCGTGGCCGTGTCTATGGCGGAAGCTGGAAAACCTGTCCTTTTCGAATGTTTCCAAGCAGGTTGTCATGTCGTTTTGCGTGGCAGGCGTGGCACTTTGTGACATTCCAACCTCTCCACACTCCACACTTTACACTCCACACTTTACGCTCCACACTCCACACTCCATACTTTACACTTCACACTTTACACTCCACACTCCACACTCCTCACTCCACACTCTACACTTTACACTCCTCACTCCACACTTTACACTCCTCACTTTACACTCCACACTCCTCACTCCACACTTTACACTCCTCGCTTTACACTCCACACTCCACACTTTGCACTTTACACTCCTCACTCCACACTCCACACTCTACACTCTACACTCCACACTCTACACTTTACACTCCACACTTTATACTTTACACTCCTCACTCACACACACTTTACACTCACACACTCCTTACTTTACACTCCACACTCCACACTCTACACTTTCCACTCCACACTGCAGACTGGTAACAAGGGAAACATGTACAAGACTGTTCAAATAAACTATTGCAGAAAGGTATTGTGCGTGACTGCATAACCATGTGTTTTGACATCTGTACCATTAACATACGTGTGAGCATTCGGGTTCGTGGGCTTCATCTTGTTTTTAAGTATGATGGGGTAAAGGATTCATCATGCGTTTGCCAAATTGGCTTTCAATCAGCTAAGATTCTGAACCGTTTAAGACATGTTCTTAAAGCAGAAGAAGGGGAGAAAAAACGGAAAAGGTCACAGAAGATATCAGAAATTCACAGCTTCACAGCCAGCCCGTTCGCGTTCTGTTCTCATCCGGAGGTCTGCTGCAAGGATTTGGATTATTCGGGTGACACGGACGCGCGGTCCGAGAAATGGGAGGTGGTCTATCCAGCTGACCATCCAGTCATCAGGTCACCTGGGGCATCCTGGGGCATCCTGTGGCATCCTGTGGCATGAATCGGGCAGTGAATCCACGGGAAGAAGACGTGTTGGAATCGAACATCGAAAATCCATTGAAAATCGATTGTGAAAATCTATAGAGGGAACATGTTTCAACAGATTTTTCAATGGCAAAAAAAAACATTTTAAACACAACAGCATCACATAGCAGACATAGCATCATCCATTGGTCCATGGAGTCCATCCCATCACTCCATCACTCCATGATTTGGTGTCGCAGGTTGTGTGATGATTTGGACTTGAAGGAGATCTCAATGCCGCGAAGCTTTTTCTGGGATGACTGGACCAACACACAGGATGAAAAGCACATCCTCAACCTCTTAGAGGATGGGACACTGAAGCTGGCATCACAAAATCATATGAGATTCACAAGCTGTTGAAACATGTTGAAACCATATGTCCCAGACTTTCAAGGAAAAGGTTAGGTTCATTTAGGTGAATTCAATGAATTCAGGTTCAACAACCCTCTCAGCCTCTCAGGTAGTGTTTGAAAGTTTAGGGAACGTGTTTAGTCGATGAAACATCGCAAAACGTAAGGATGCATACTGTATCATACAGATTCATAGGGTGTTATTTGTTGAAAGGGCAAGTTGTTCATGTTTTGAATTCACAGTGGACTGACAGTCTGACAGTCACATTGATGGCTTTGGATGATCTTAGAGTAATTGGACCCGCGAGAACCACAGGTGGTTGCTGTAATTTGCTGTAGCCTTCGGTAGTCAAAACATGGCAATGACAAATCCCCCGTTTGTTGAAGGTGGTTATCTTGGAATCCACAGAAGATCATCATGGATCACCCCTTGATATTTGTTGATCAAATTTGATCAGTACTTGGAAGATCACCATGTATAGTAAAGTGGTAGAATGGACCATAGAATGGAGCCATTTTTCCATGACTTTCCATGGTACTTTTGCATACTTTTGCTGTCATGCAACTGTCAGGACTGGACAGCTTTGCAGCACAAGACCTATCGAGGATTGGCTTGGATGGCTGAAGGCTTACTGCAAGGCGGTGAAACTCTGTCAGACGCTGGGCTTCGCTGGGCACAACGCCGGACCCCATTTTTTTTCGGGAAAGTGAAGGGCTGGGTAACTCTCGGGTCGGACTGGATCATCCCTCAGGCTGTGGTCGAGGTCGACTGTTGGTTGATGGTGAAAGATGGTTTAACGGTTTTGTCCCAGCCAGGCGTTTTCGAGAACAACTAATGACAGCATCCACACACATGCGTTACATGTGTTGGTCAACTATTAGGGGTGCCCCATGTGCAGACCAATCCAGGACCAATACCATCTTGGATGCTGCAGAGCTCCCAACTTGTGGCTATCATCATGCTCATAGAAAACCTCAACCGGAAATAGAAAAAAAACACTGTAGGACTGTATCTAGCTGAAAACTGGTCACCTTTCCATCTCTTTGGGGGTTCGTAGCACTTGAAAATATCGCCCAAGGCACCCTTAAAATGACCCAAGTTGCTGGAAACATGTGGAAAATGACCCAAAAATGACCCAAACCATCTTAAATGATCTTAAATCGTGCACCCTCAGCTGGATTCAGCTGGCTCGCTGAGAAAAAAGCCGGTCATGGCCCCTTCAAAGTGCTGCCGGGGATCATCACGGTGCGTAGCAACTCCGGCCTGGATCGATGTCAAAAAAGATGTCCGAAATGTACGGTAAAAAACCGTTGTAACCACCATTTTTAATACGTAAATCATCGCACTAACTGATCTAAATTGGACAAAAAACGAGGGAGAGCCCCCCAAAAAAAGAAACTGCTTGTTTCCCCCATGGTATTCAAAACATGTTGTTTTTTCTATTTTGACTTGGGGGTTGCTATGCAGGTTTATTCCACAGCTTAGCTGGTTGGATGAAGATCCGGGTGTGGCTACAAATTTCGATGATCAAAAACTATGATAGTAACAACAAACTCCCACGAGAACCGAACTATTACTTTCCATCCCAGAATTGGTGTTTGGAATTGGTGCTTGGCAAACCTACAGAACACCCAATATTTGATGGTTTCCTTCAAGCAATTCCTTCAACCAATCCATTCAATACATTTCAAATCATTTCAATACCATACTTGCTGATTGATTTCCAGATACTAGTATTACTTGATATTACTTGTAGGGGTCCCCATAAATAAATAGAAATCTGTTTCAAATCTGTTTCCAGGATGTCAAAAAGATGCCAATTAGATCCCTTGATTTTGCCCCTTTTTTGGCCTCTCGCTAGGTAGCTTCATGTTGAGATTCTGCAGCCATGCACCGCAGAGTTGTGTGAGAGATCGCTGGGACCTTGAACTTCCCACCTGTCACTGCAACCTCTTCTGCTTGGTGGCCAAGAGCAGCAACCTGTCATGGGTCCATGGGGGGATTCATCCCATTGACCAGGATCACCTTAGGTCATGTTTTTAAAAGGCGCGACTCGCATGTTTTTTTGGGGGGAAGAAACTGCTACACCCATTTTTGGGGAGGGAATTTAAGACTGGCCCATGATTTTTAAGCCATGTACTATAGATTACCAGTAGTACCGCACAAGGCGGTGGCGGAAGTTTCAAAAATAGGAAACCTATAGGAGACGTTGGTTGTTGTGAATCAGGGATGGCAGAGCGAAGCCACTGACGGACCGAAAGGTGCTTGAGGTCTCCTCTCTTTCTCTCTTTTTCTCTGACTATCTACCTACCTACCTACCGATCTCTCTATGTATTTATCTATCGCTCTCTCTCTCTCTCTCATCTAATTACCTACCTATCTAGTGGAATGTAGTGTCGTGTAATGTAGTGAAGTGTAGTGGAAGGTAGTGTAGTGTAATGTAGTGTAGTGTAGTGGAGTGTAGCGTAGTGTAATGTAGTGTAGTGTGCCGTACTTGAGCGTAGCGGAGTGTAGTTGTAGTTGTAGTTGTAGTGTAGCGTAGTGGAGTGTAGTGGAATGTAGTGTAGTGTAGTGTAATGTAATGTAGTGTAGTGTAATTTAGTGTGCTGGAGTGTAGTGGAGTGTAGTGTAATGTAGTGTAGTGTACTGGAGTGTATTGTAGTGTACTGTAGTGTAATTTAGTGTAGTGGAGTGTAGTGGAGTGTAATTTAGTGTAGTGGAGTGTAGTGCAATGTAGTTGTGTAGTTGTGTAGTGTAGTTGTGTAGTTGTGTAGTTGTAGTTGTAGTGTTGTGGAATGTAGTGTAATGTAATGTAGTGTAGTGGAGTGTAGTGTAGTGTAATGTAGTGTAGTGTAATGAAGCGAAGCGAAGCGACATCTGAACCTCCAAAAGTGGTCCGAGACCCTGGTGTTTTTAACATTTTGACTTGGAAATGTGCTTCCCGCCGCAACGGCGTGCACTTTTTCGACATTTGAACCTCCAAAAGTGGTCCGAGACCGTCAGTTTTTAACACTTTTGACTTGGAAATGTGCTTCGCGCCACAACGGCGTGCACTTTTTCGACATCTCAACTTCCAAAAGTGGTCCGAGAATGGTGTGTTTTGTACATTTTGACTTGGAAATGTGCTTCGCGCCACAACAGCGTGCACTTTTTCGACATCTCAACTTCCAAAAGTGGTCCGACGCTGAGGTGCTTTGTACCTTTTCACTTGGAAACGTGCTTCGCGCCACAACGGCGTGCACTTTTTCGACATCTCAACTTCCAAAAGTGGTCCGAACCCCTGGTGTTTTGTATATTTTGACTTGGAAACGTGCTTCGCGCCACAACGGCGTGCAATTTTTCATCTCTCATCTGGCCAGCTGGCTCCGCACCCGCCGCTTTAGCGAGCCTACTTTTCGACCCTCCGGAGCCCCAAATCATTGGAAAAACATAGTGTTTCGCGACTTTCGTACCCTTTCGCGCATCTGCATCTATCTTCTTTCTTCTGATCTTGTCTCTTCTGACTCTTCTCACCTCTGCTTTTCAACTGTCCATATTGTCGGAAGTTTCACTTCTAAACTTCCTTCGATTATGGGAATATTCTGGATATTACAGCTGTTACTGATTCTTACCACACAATCACAATCACACACACACACGCGCGCGCGTTTGAATCATAAGAGCCTCGTAGCGACGTCACCCTAGAGGACGGGTTGCAGGCGCAATCATTCCACAATGTCTGCTGTTGAAATCTCATATATGAGACATGTTCTGGATCATTTTCTGTTTCGTGATTTGGTACTGAGATGGGCCAAATGATATGCTTAGATGCGTTCTTTTGGATGATCGTTGTCGTTTTCCCAGGAGCAATCCCGTAGAAATTTGGGCCATCACCGCCCAAGGTAAAGAAGAGCTGAAGGCGATTAATCGGAAACTTCGAGCAGTGGAGGAATGATGCGCTTCGGAATCGATTCCAGACATCTCCAAAGGAGACCTCACCAAGCGTAGCAAAAGCAGTGTGGGAATGACTTCTGGAGAATGCGTGCATCTTGAATATATCTTGAATCATCTTCATAGTTTGCAACATATTTTGTTTGAACAGTTTCATGCAAACCTGCCGTTGGTTGATTTTTTGGAGGCGGGTCGGGCGGTACCATCCTCTTCATACTGGGGATCAAAATCCCGTGAGCTGGGGCCATAGTAAAGGGATGGTTCGTATTTGAAGGTATCAACATACATTACATCCCAATCATCCCAGTAAACAACCCAAAAAATCAAAATCATCTCCTATACGAAATCTCCAAAAAACCATTAACCATCCTTAAATCCCACTTATTCCATTTCATATTCCATTTAATATCTTCAATATCCAGTTTTAAACCCATTGATATTATCCATATGTTGGGCCGCTCCAGGCACCTTCATCGAGACCCAGGGATTGGACGATTTTCCATTGCAAAAACACAAAGCCGACAAAGCCCAATGTGGACACAGTGGACACCCCCTAAAAAATTGAAAAACATGGCCATTTGTTTCTTACATCCCATTTATGGTAATACTTGTTCATACTTTTTCCATGCATATGAGCGCGCTTGCGCGATGAAATACTTCATATGCACGCGAATACATGCAAGTACCTTCACATACACACGAAATGGAGTGACTTGCTTGGTCATTTGGTTGGTCGTATGGTTGATTCTTGGTTGATCTTGGAATCTGATGGTGTGCTCTTCCTGTGGTCCTGCGAGTTCCAACCGCATCCAGTACCACATCAGCAGATTCCAATCGAAAAAACCAGAGAAGGTCTTGAAACGCTGGGATTCCCTGGTCACTTAGCTAAAAGCCATGGTTTTTTCCACATTTTTCTAACCGGGTCATTTGGGATGATTTGCGGAAGTTGTTGATGTTCCCTCAGAATTTTTGTAACTCCTGGCAGAAACTCTTGAGAAGCTGCATTTTTTCATCCTTTTCCCCCATTTTTCCCCCTTGTTTGGTGGACCTACACCAACTCAACCATCTCTGGCAAAGTGATATCAGTCAAGAACATTTCAACTTGAGTTATTTGCATATTGATGGCAAAACCACAGATTTCCCGTAGAGTTTCCTTTAAATCATTCCAATGATGGGAACGACTTAATCACACAACCAGTTTAAAAAAAAACACCTCAGCAGTCAGACTTTGTGCCGCGTTTTTTTCCCCTTTCTTTTGAGGAGATTTGCAGCGACGTCTTCGAAGGCTTGTGATTTTTTGCTTGTCCTGTGTGGATCTGCAGGATGAGAAACTGTCGGTAGTGCTGGATTACCTCAAAGAATTGCTGCAAGGATTGGATGATGAACGCAGACCATTGGCAGAGAGGCAATGGTATCGCTTGCATTCCAGAGTTTATGATGTTTATGGCTATGGAGATGGGCTTTGTGACTGTGACTGGTTGGTGACAACGGTTGGTGGTTTCAAAATGTGTCAATTTTTCCACTTTTTTTCCACTTCCTACATATAGAAATGGGATGATCCTTAAGTGCCAGCGATTTTTCGAGGAGCTCACCAACCAGGTGCTGATGGCCAAGAGGCGAAGACGATTCCAACACCCAAACAGCTGGTTTCACTGCACTGCAGGGTGTGAAACACAGAAAAAAACCTGATGCAGTTTTCACAGATTTGACACCCAAGCAAAGAGTACGAAGTCCTCAAAGAGCCGGTGAAAGAAGCTTGCGAAGTGTTTGCGAACATGGGAAGGAAACTCGATATTGCCGCATTTGCAGTGCCTGCGAACATGGCAAGGCAAGAAACCTGTGCAGGTTTTGCAAAGGTTGCCCTCATGGACTGCTTCGACAAAATTGCAAGTTCTGTGTGCCATGTCCCCATGGCCGATTGAAACGTGGATGCAGGGAATGCAATGCCTGCGAACATGGGAAAGCCCATCGATCATGCAATCTGTGCAACGGCTGTCCTCATGGTCGCATGAAAGCATATTGTCGCAAGTGCCGCAGCTGTCCTCATGGAAAGCTTCGACGCGGTTGCATTTTATGTGTGCCTTGTCCACATGGCAAATTAAAGCATAAATGCACATCTTGCAGTGCCTGCCCTCACGGCAATCGAAAAGATTTGTGCCGAGAATGTATGGGTTGTGAGCATGGGAAAGTGAGATACCGTTGCTCCATCTGCAATGCGTGCCCACATGGCAAGCTCAAGAAGCATTGCTCAGTGTGTAACGGTTGCACCCATGGACGCCGAAAAGACAAATGTCGAACCTGCAAGGAACGCAAGGAACGCAAAGAAAAGGATCTCTGTGGCAACTGCCTTGCGAATCTTTTGGTGAGTTCAACCTGCTTACCATGTTTCACGCTCCAATTGTTTGACTTGGAAATGGAACATGCTTAGCGTTAAAGATGTTTAGCTGCATATGGTTGCTACTGCTTGCTCTTCTCTTTGAGAGTGGTAATTTGCCATTGCCATTGCCACAACTAATTTCGGTAGTTTCCATGCATATTATTTGGGCCTGGCAGGCCTACAATCGCATGAACCATTGCATATAATATATATATATATATAGATATAGATATAGATTATATATATATATATATAGATTATATATGTATATATATCATACTTTACTCTTCAGTATCATCTGCATTTGTCCTCATCCATATCCTCTAGGGTGAATGCCAGATATCTCCCCATGATGGTTGCCTTTGCAGGAGAAATCATGGTGGCCTATCAGGTGCCAGGGTGCATCAGGGTGCCATCAGGGTGCTCAGCTCATCTCAGCCCTGAGGATTGTCACACATCAGGGTTGGTGGGGTCCCAAAATAGCCGTTGCCATAAAACATCCTGAAAAAACCTATAGTGGATGGAAGAAATCCTGCAGTTGATAGGTGGTATCTGCAGTATCTCCAATTATAGGGGTTCAACCATCCAAGGTGATGCAGGATTTCTTTCATCCACAGCTTTTTCCCTGAAGAAGATAAAAATAGTCAAAGATAAACCATGGGGTTCTATGGTGGTTTTATGGGGTTTTATGGGTGTTTTAGGGTCACAAGATTTGAGACAACCCCATGTATCATGATGAGTCATCATTGAAGGTCACCCTTGATTGTTGAGAGATTCGCCCGTTTCGCCTCCCGTGGCATGGGATGTAGCATCTGGTAGTTTAACAATGTTTAACATAGCTGCGGAAGAAACTGCCATTTGTAAGAGGTAAACCCTCGTAAACCATGGTAAACCATGGTAACTTGGTAAGCCATCTATGAATGGACCATTTGGATCCATTTAGACCATTTAGACCATTTAGACCATTTTCGTTTCGATAGCTATGATTTCGTTTACCGGAGGGTAACCAGCAATGGTATGATATCCACAGCTATGACGAGATGCCAGGATGGGCAGGAAATTTCTTCGCACATTCTTGACGGAGAGGACTGGAATTCGGGTAAACCCTGACGTGGTTCAGAAACTAGAACAACATCTTGCTGAATCAAGTGGAGTAAGCAGTGCCCAAGTGCAGAGTGGCAGAAACAAATTGTGACTATCTACAGTAATCTACAGTATAATTTGACCTTGCAAGGTGTTCACCAGAACAGGCTTGTGCTGGTCTGAGGATGTTTGAGGCACACCAGTAGACTCATAGATTTCATTCACTGCCATTCACTTTGAAGGGTTCAGCCCGGATTTGTATCGCTTATTCTTCAGAGACCCAAGGACTGATTTTTTTCACAGAGAGCAAGAAGTGAATCGTCGGATCCTCACAAACTGCAACCTCAGTGATTTATGGGGACTTTCCACGTTTGAGTGACTTGTGAAACATGTCCAACTTAAGGTGAGTTTGAGAAACAACATTGATCATTGCATATCCTTTCCTGCTAAAGTGAAGCCATTTGGGCAATCCGCACTGTAGTCACAGCTACAAATGGCCGTTTGAATGCGCAGCATAGCAGCCGAAGGAATCATTTGGCTCAAGATTTCCTACGGCCTGACATAAAACTGACCGCCTTTGAAGGTCATCATGATTCATCATGGATGTGATTCCCCATGACAGGGACTCTGGACCACTGAAGGATGAAGAGAAGCAAAGGCTTCTCAATGCACTGAATGATTTGGGTGAACCTGCGGATGATTCCGCAGGGACTGATCATGCTGCAGACAAAGTGCTGACGGCTGATGAAGCATCCGGCGATACTGACCATGGTCCCCTGCATTTGTTCAACAATTACAATGCTTTCGGCACTTTTGAGAGGCTCGGAAACGACATGAGCTGGACATCAACGCCGCAACTTTGGAAGATCACGGCTTCAACTGAAAGACATGAGTGCCACCGACTCAAAATGGTGAAGAACCGGCGGTTAGAAAAACAGATTCAGAGTGCCAAGAAGGGCGACACCAGACAGTTCAGGCCATCAGGCCGTCCTCCAAGGCATGCCTTTGAGCTGCTAGGAACTGGTGAGCGAGAGATTGCTGAAGCAATGTCGTGTTTTGGGCAGACACTCCAGCGTTTTACCTTCGAGATGTCCACGCGGGAAGCTCAAGCCGAAAATAACGATGCAGAAGAGCTCGACCCGAGCCACTGCTTGATAGTGAAAATGTTCAAGACAGACATCAAGCTGAAAAAAACACCTGAAGAGATTCGATCCTTTGGGAGACAGATCCTCGTGCGGGATGCAGATGATACACACTTCTTTGAGAATGATTTAGATGGCATTTCACTTGTTAGCAGTGTGAACACATCAGATGTGATTCGCTTGGTCGTTCCAAAAGACCCTGACTTGTATGGGCAACTGATAGGATGTATTGGAACAAGTGCAGTCCGAATGGATTTGCAAGGAAGCCAACACCAAACCGTCCAAATACAGGATGCTTTGTGTGGTGCTTGGACTGCAGTGCCCGTCATGTACGTCGGCGGCAAGCTCCATATTACGCACATTGATGCACGCCAAGGGACTGCCAACGTCGTTTGGACTGATGAAACCAGCCACATTGCCGACATTGCAACGTGTTGGTGGAACCCCTATCAGATATGTGCGACAACTTCTCGGCCATCTTGCACCATGAAGCTGTTCGACGTAAGAAAAATGAATACTTTCTTAGAAGATATGGGTTTGCCCGAACGAGGCGAGCTGCGATACCGCCACCACCCCCTTCACAAGGATAGGCGTTTTGAGTCCGCATGGTGCATGGGGAAATCTCCCTGGATGTTTTCCTTCTGCCTTGGAGGCTATGACATGGTCTTCAGGAGCATGGGAAATGCACATGGTGCCAGCAGTTCATATCACCATGACCTCGAAAGCTGTGGGGCTTTCGATTCTTGCGAAGGATGTGGTGCGGTGAGGCTTGAAAACCGGGCCCAATCCAGTCTTGCCCTCGTTCAATACATGGCGAACACAGGACCCACAGCCGTGTGGTTAGAACATCCACAGCCATATACTGCAAGATCGTCTATGACCAGCTCTCCAAATGATCCTGCTGACAAAGAATCAGACCAGAGTAGGCAGCTACTGGAGTCATTAGTCGGAAGTATTCTGACTGCTTTACCTGTATCTGACACCAGCTTGGCAGGCGACAAAACGGCCTTGAAGCAGGGCATTGTTGCAAGGATGCTGGAACATTTTGAAGCAGAATCAGATTGTTGTGCGCAGTTTCCAGTCCTTTGGGGAATCCTTCAGGAAGAGATTAGGACCAGCAACCCTGAAGTGGGCGCTTCAAAAGCAGCTCTTTTGGTTTTGGGTGGTTCCTGTGAGCTTCGCTTCACACTTTCAGATGCCCAATTTAATTACTGTTGAAGTTCCAGCCAATGCGTTGTCTTCTTTAGACAAATACCTGGGTGAACAGATTGCTGGCTCGTGCCTCGTGATACCATTGTTGCTTGGCACGGTTTCCGCACCAAGTACATTCTTTCCGGTCTTTTATGGTAATAAGTTCAAAAACAGATCAGGCATTGGGACTTTCCTCCCCCCAAAGGGTGAGGTTTCTTTCTTTTTCTTGTTTGTTTGTGTTGACTTGATGATGTTTGCTGTAAGTTTCCAAATCACTTGGTGGTTCCAAGGATGGAATGCCGTGAAGAAGGCAAGTGCAGAGGTTTCCAACTTCCACAATTGGATGACATCAAAACGGCAATTTCCAGCCGCAGTCTGAACCCGTTGAAAACCGCACCAGTTCCTCCCCCTCATCTTGTTGCAGATGCTGCAATGGTGTCTGACATGCACTGGCTGGAAATGGAGGATTTGGCAGTGTTGCACTTGCTTCGAAGATGTGGCCTTGTGGCAACAGGCTTTCCGGTCGATGAAGTCAATGATTTACACCGCTCCGGTGGCATTGCACAAAGAAAAGCAAAAGATTGCATTGAAGAGCGCAATCGTCTCGAGCTGAGAAACAGCTTCCAAGGGGAATTGCTGGGCCTTTCCCGGGTGAAACTGCACATGCAAAAAGGTGAACTCTCACCCTCCGATGAAGAAACAATGCGCAAATGCCTTAGATCAGGGGAGCCATTATTGGTGTGCTTCTGGTCCCCAGCCAAACGCCTCAGAGCCATCATGGCACTGCTTAACTTAGCAGACTTGCCAGAAGGCTGGGCGATCTCAAATCTGAGTGAAATGCCTCTGGGACATTCATTCACCTTTACAGACTTGGTAGGGGTTGCGACTGCTCATGAAACAGGACATGCGAATCACAGGCATGCTGCAAGGACAGGAGTCCGGCTCCTGGTCCGAGCTCTTCTAAGATGTGGTTTACTCGCCTGCAGCAGCGCGATTCCCAGAGAATCTCCTGAGTCCGGAACAGAATGCTATGTCCTAAATATAGGCCAAAGCGCCTTAGAGATGCAAAAATCACACGACGGGCAATGTACCACTATCTTGGAAGAACATGCAAAGAAATTGGACAGAATTTTAAGTTCCAGCCAGAGAGGGTCTTGCAAACAAGTAGATCTGTTTGAAAGAGTGCAAGAATTGATGCAACATGCGTTCACATTGCTGGGAGCGTCTCCATTGGTCACGTGGAAAAAGACATTGGCAGAACCTAGTTTGCCCTTGCGACCGAGCTGGCAAAGCTGTTTTGGCGAACGAAGTGGGTATTAGGGGGTCTGGGGGGTGGACGTGGCGTGAGGGGCCGGAAGCTCGAAATTAGTTGTAGCGGAGGCCGTGCAAATTGAAGTTTTTTGGGGGACATGTACCACTACGCCACTACGCAAAGAGGTGACGGTAGGCTTCGATTCCCCCTAGGTCCGTTGACTCCGGCAGGAAAAAGGCAGGAAAAAACCAAGGAAAATGAAGGAAAATCGTTAAAAACAGGGGGAAATGGAGGAAAATGGAGGAACGGCAGGAAAAAGGTAGGAAACCTTACAGAAATGAAGGACAATCGTTAAAAGCAGGGGGAAAATGGAGGAAAATGGAGGAACTCCGAAGCTCAACAGGGCAGCGTCCGTTGGGGTTCGGAACAAGAGAGTTTGCAAGGGGATGAGAAGTGATACTGAGGAAGGGGTGGCGAAGGGTTGCAAAGCAAGGATAACAATTCCAAAGGTGCTGCAGATGGTTTGGGCTTCTAGTAGACGATTAACCAGCGGGCTGAGGATCATTACAGTAGGGGGTGGACAGTGTAAAGTGTAAACTGTTGTAGGGGGAGTGCACAGTGTAAAGTGTAAAGTGTGGAGCGTAGAGTGTAGAGTGTGAAGTGTAGAGTGTAAAGTGCACAGTGTAAAGTGCAGAGTGTAAAGTGTAGAGTCCTGGGTAGCAACTTTCCTGGGCAAGTTTGCCTCTTTTCGCATCACGTGGTTTCAGCCAAGGTCCTTTGAAGACCCACGGCAGAGAGATGTGGAAACGGAACACACTGATGAGATGTGGCCCAAGCTGTTATGCCGGCTCCGGCGTGAAGACTATTCTAAAATTTATGCCTGGCTGGCCCGACAGGAAGACATGTTTCACGTGATTCCAAGTGATCAAACGCTTCTTGTTCTGGAGCAATTCGAAAGAGCCAACGTGGCCAAGACATTTTGTCAAGTGGCGCGGATGGCGAAAGAGAGATTGCACACTGACGATTTCAGTGTGGAGTTGCAGGTGGAACTGTTGAAATTTGAAGGAGCAGATCAAATA